GGAGAAAAGGAAGAAAAAAATCCTGAAGCCAAAATTTAATTTACTTTCTATTTGCTGGGAGCCTTGCTAGTAAATTGGTTGGGAAGAAGCTCCTGTTGATGCGTATTTGGAGGGCACTCTAAGAACAAACAAAGATGTAGAGATATTTCAGCATGATAGCCGTCACTGACTAGGTAGAACTGTGGGGTTTATATTAGGCTGTGGCTGCAATTTTATCTGCTTAATTTTAGTTACTACTCTGCAGAGGTGTTAGCAGTGCACTGCTAATCTCTGCATTTGTGTTGAGTCTCTTCTCAGGTGAGAGCCCTGTGGTCATGTTTTTACTTCCTCTGAAGCCAGTGAAGTGCCAGTTCCTTTGTTATGTAGTCTACGCTTATGCTTGAAGGAATGGTTTACATCATGAGACTTCTTTTAGCTTTAAGCATGAAAGAGATGATTGATAGTGAGGTGAAACAGGTCTGTTGCAAGTCTTAAAAATGGAGGAGACTGTTGCCCTTCTCAAAGAGTGATATCATGGATCTGCAACTGCTTAGCACTGGGAAGAGTTTAAAAGGTACTGTTCAGGGTGTGAGGAAAGAGGCTAACAGCATATCTAAAATGGAGGTTTTAAGAATGTTTTCTTCCTTTCCAAGTAAGCTATTATATTTTTTTTAAATTGGTAAGGCTAACAGCTAAGAAGGTCTGGGCTTCTGGATAAAAACCAATAGCCAAACTGTTGCTTTGTTTTTAATTCAGCTAGGAGCTATGAGTGTTTAGTTATATCTGCTGCTGTTGCTTCCCTTCATGTTATAGAAATTGTGTAATGTAGGATATTTGTGTGATTCAAAACATTTTTATTGCAATGTGCATATCCTCGTGTCAGAGAAAGGAAAGAAATGGCAGTAGGATGCCACTGTCACTGCTTCGGATAACTTCTGTTTTGAGTAGTTAGTGAAAATTGTTCATGTTACAGCTCTTCTGTAAGTTGTAGTTCTTGTCAGCATTTTTATTGTACTGGGAGGAACATAGTCAACTTCCTCATTAATTGCTGTAAACTGCTTTAATCACAATTCTCAGCTTTTTCTTTGTGTGCTATGAAGGGACTATCAAACAGGTTAACTACTAAACACATTTACAATTAAATTGTAGTTTATTGCACTGATTCCAAGGACTTATTTGTCTCCATTTCAGAATAGTGATAGACTTCCAAACTTTTTTGCTTCTAATGTGCTCTAAATATCTGCAGGGAAAGATTTCTAGATAGCAGGATATTTTAGATTACATTTCTTCAAAAGCTATTTATTTCCTTTTTGTAGTGTATTTATATATTTTATGTTCATTCCTCCAAGTTTTCTTACAGAAGGAGCTGAAAACATGAAACAAACTTTATGAAGTTTATAAAGCACCTGCAAAGCTTTTCATGAATAACTGTATGACAGCAAGAATGACCATTACTCTGTGGCCATTATAGAATTTGAGGTACTGAAATAGTTCTTAGGAAACAAAAAAGAACAAATGTAATTAAGATGTATGAAGTTGAGTCAGAATGCAGTTAAGGACTTCTAATGGCTGCATGGTGACCTGTGTTCTGTGCCAGTAAAAAAAACAGTCCACAGTTATGCATAAGGTCAAAACTTAAGTTTTGGCAGTGGCTAGTTTCCTGCAGAGAAGCAGCTGTTCTTGGCACCTGAAATGGCATGTGTTCTGCAGGGCATCGTGGGGATCCAGAATTGGAATCAGCTCTGAGGGTTCGTTGACTTGCAAAGACCAACAGTAAATGACAAATGCTGACCTTTAATATTTCCCCAGACTTGCATGTTCCTGTTTACAGTGTGTCTTGGTAACTTTGCAACAGCTTCCTTCCTTGTTTGCAGCCACTGGCAGCATGATAACTTTGGAGGTAATTACTAAATGCCAGTTGCTGGTCAGCTATGTAGATTGACATACTGGTATCACGACATGGTCAGAAAGTTATGCAAACTCAGCTTCCCACTCATCCTTCTTTTGAGCTGGCTCTTTGGTTGTTTCGGGATAGGTATTTTAAACTACTGCTGCTCACTTAGCTACAGTGCTGTGTAGATGCACAGTCATAGCCGTGTGTTATATCACTGGTGAAGATTACCTGCAGAATCCTCTGTTTCAAACGAGGTTGAAGTATACATAAAAGTAAGACTAATTATACAACCTGGGAGTTTGTGTTAAAGGTACATAAATAAAACATAATTTAACATACAGTAGTTCTCCCCTCTGATTTGATATGTTCTTCATCCCTTAGTTTATGGGATACAAGAACTGCTTTGAAAAGAAGAACATTACTTCCAAATTGTAACTGGTCATTAAAAGTTTTGAAGTCTTTATCATTAAGGATATTCCAAACTATAGCAGACAAGTTTTAGCACTCAACACTGAGTGATCTGTTCTAGTTGACTGCTCGTTGAGCAATGAGGGCTTTAGACTAGACAGTCTCTTCCAGCCCTGGCTATTCTGTAATTTTGTGTTGCATTCCCAGGATCAGCTTTTTGCACAAATACTGTGTGGTTGATAGCAGATCTGGGATGTCACTGATGAGAATGTAAAAACTCAGTGAGCTGAGAAGTGTTTATCCTTCCCTGTAGTGCTTTACAATAATAGAATTACAGGAAGAAACTAGCTTAGAAACTGTTGATTTGCTATAGAACCCAAGTTACCACCAGAGAAAGTTTCCATTCCCTAAACCATTCCTAGAGCAATAGTTCTGAATTGATGCAGGGTTGATTTAATCTGCCTTTCCTAGGAAACTATTAATTGTTTTAGTGTTTTAAACCTCTTCAAGGCTTACAAGTTTGAGTGCAGCAGAAGCAGCTAAAAATGATACAGCAGTTTCAGAGGCATCTGGGAACTTCTGATGCCTGGCTGCTGGTCAGTATTACCTTCTAGGGACTTACTTGGGGACTTTATTGGCATTTAGCATTTGAAAGTTATACTGGTGTCAAGCGGTATGCATTCACTATAGTGGCACTCTACATTAGAGCATGCATTTGACATAGGGCATTGAGTCTACATTGTAGCATACCTCAATTTTGGCTTTCTGTGGGAATGTAAGGAGCTGTTAAGCAATGTTACATTCGTCATTTAATGTTAATTTTCAGTTACTGTTGCTGTTTTACTTTCTCAGTAAACTGAAAATTTCATCTTGCTGCTTCTGAACCTAATGGTCCAAAATTATTTAATTTGCACAAAACCTATTCATCCTGATGAAGAGGGAGTTGCCTCTTCCTTAAAATGTTTTGTTTCTGATTTGTTTTTCAGGCATGCAGAAGTCATGAAGAAAATAATCGAGACTGTTGCAGAAGGTGGGGGAGAACTTGGAGTTCACATGTATCCTTTTTCATTATTACAGAGATTCTTGGACCCTTCTTGCAGTGTAATGTCTGTTACCTTTAGGGTCATAAGCTGAAACACAATTATGTGTGAAAGCAGTGAATAGCCGTTTGGGGTAACACTTGCTGGAGTTCTGGCATCAGCTCCTTTGTGCAAACAGACTCCATTAAGTTTTGGGGGGAACATGAGGTGGGGTATGGCAGCAGCACTGAAGAGGGCAGGTAGGTTTGAAGGGACAGCATTGAGCCCTTGATTGTAAGGGTGTGAAGGAGGTAGCTGTGAGCATCCAGTGGAAGATGCCAGTGTAGGGAGGGTGAGACTGGAGGTTCACAGACTCCATCCAGTGTGTAGTCACTGCTTAGCAGAGCAGCTTTTGTATTCTATTTTAATCTGAAATTAATTTCTGAGAGGTGTAGAGGTCCCACTATGCTCTCTTCTGCGTGTGAGCAATATCTTGGTAAAACAAAACGTTGCTGACAAAAAGCAATGGAAATCACTTAAACCACTCTGAACATCAATATCAAATGCCTCACAATTAAAATTTTCTTTCAGGAAGCTGAGTGATCTTAGTTATGCTTTGTAGTAATCAATAGTATACTTTCTGACTAGAGCAGCCTCCATGATAAAAGCAAGGTATGTCCTTTCAAAATAGTGTTCTTTGCTGCTGTAGGGCAAATAAGCAGGAATTACTGAGCAGCTAAAGGTCTTGAATCAGTAAATTCTCATTTACTGTATGAGTTGAGACTTGCTCAATTTGTGCAACAAGCAACTGGAACTGAACTGGAAAATAACTTGTCTGTCATGGTTGTTCAAGTCTCCTAGTCCTCAGTAGTTGCAGGTAGCTGCTTTTTTTTTCTTGTGTTTCTTTTTTTTTTAATCACTTAACAAATTGGGACATTTTTAGCATTTCTTTGCTCATTTTCATACATCTTCTGTTTGTGAAGAAATGGTCTGTGAGACTGTTATGTCAAAACAATTGGGTTTACTTACATCCAGTACCAATGTAACTAAATTGAAAGTAGTGATTTCTATTAAATTTTTAGTTTCCTATCTGCCTCTTTCCCACATGGACAGAGACTTTAGCTTGTAATTATTCAATATACTTCAGACTGCAATTCAGGCCCAGCATGCCTTTGAAAGTGACATATACAAGGGAACTTTTCTCTGCAAAGAATGTGACTTCTGCTTTGTTTTGCTGGATTTCTAGCTATAGAACATTTTCCTTAATAAGAAACTCAGGTACCTTCTTATTTTCTTGAAATTTGTACAGGCGGTCATTCCAACGATAGAATACGACTACACAAGGCACTTTACGATGTAACTAAAATAAGAGATGTGTTCCTCTAATTATCAAATCTTTTTTTAAATAACCCATCCATGTCACTTATACAACATTATACACAATTTCTGTAACTAATCTTTTATCAACTTGATGCATTAAAATAAAATGTTCCATTACCAGCCTTTTTAATAAAAATCTCTGTGTGTAATATAAATAAATCACTTTCATTCCAGTACAGATGCTGCACTAAGAGGTGGGATTTTTTTTCTCCATAATTCCTTAATTTCCTTCCATGAGATTATTTTCATGTATGTTGGAAACTGAAATCTACTTTTGTAGTAGAAGCCTAATAGTTATGGCTTCGTTGCTGATTCCTAAAAATGTACTTTTTTTTCCCCATTTAAATTCACTTGGGAGCTTTGTGGAGGGATTTTTTACAGCTATGAATGGTTATATTTCCTCTAGCTGGAGGAATATTTTAAAAGATGAAAAAAATAAGTGATTGTCTTGTTAAGAAAGTCTGACTTCAGCTTTAACAAGTAACTGTAACTAACCAGTCTCTTTGAAAGGTGATTTATACTTGAGCAAGACTAGAGATGGAATATTTGAGGAGGCAGAGGAAGGATATTCATTATGTGGTCTGTTTCTCTTGTAGTAAAGAACAGTCTTATTGACAAAAATACAGCTTGAGGGTGAAGGAAAAGATTGCTGAGTCCGAGCAAGGTTCAATCTTGATTATTTGTCTGCCTCAGCTACACTAATTGCCAGTCTAACAGCATGGTTCCCTCCTTGGGATGAACATGCATGGAGTTGTTTGTGGATTCAGATATTCCAGAAGCATCCAGGCTTTAGCAGCCAGTTTCTGCCCTGTAAAATGTAAGGTTTATATTATTGAAACTTGGAGGAAAGGACCATTGTGTCTCTGTGTATATATTTGTGCATATATTTATAGTCATTAGATTCACTTAAACTGCCTTTCAGGAAAGCACTTTTGTCTCCCAAGCATCCATCTTGCATTCTGCAAGATAATCAGAAGTTGGGTGTCTGCAGTGGACTAAATTTACTGGTGGATAGGAAGATTGGTCCCACTCCTGGCACAGCTGGTCCCTGTTTTGGCTGTCCTTTGTACCATGCTCTTACATGGGAACACATAATCAGGTTGTGTGTTTCATGCTAAAATTGACTTTCCTCTTGATATGTCGTTACTTCCTCTTTTTTGGACATATCTTAAGCAATGTCTATGTAAGTGAAGAGTAATGCTGGCTGAAACCTGTTAAAAATTTAACCACACCCACTGAGTCATGCCATAGGAATTTGCCTAGGAGGCTAATCTCAAAATGTGTTTTGGGCTTTCTGGTAACAAAGGAAGCAGCTGTCCTCCACCCAATAAATAGGGGAGCAAAGAGAGGGAGTATGACTTAAAATAACTAGTAGTGATGTATATTTTTTCCTTTGATGCATCAGAATATTTTGAAACTTCCTTTTCCCTTAAAGGTATCTGTTCTCCTGTAAGAAGGTAAATTAGTTTCATAAGTCTCCAGTGAGTTAAGTTATAAAATACCACATTCTTCCTTGTCAGGCTTTTGATGAAAGCAAGTGGTATAATTTTTTTTATTTTAATGTATAAACCAAAGGCAGCCTTTTTCTCTGACCCTAACAGAAAAAGAAGCGCAGCAGAACTGAAGAAAACTTCAGTTTTCTGCCAATGGCTTCCATCATCACCGTGATATTAGATACCTTATGGCATTTTTAGCCCTGCACTGTCTGGTGTTGCAAAAGCCAATCTGTGGTGACTAAGACATGGTGTTCTGCTTGGCTGCTTATCAAAGTGGCTGTACTTACAAGCAAATTTAATCTGAGTGTACTTGTAGCAGTTGTACTGTACCTTAATCCTCCTCTTCCTCTGGGATTAATGTTTAAAATTCCTGACAGAACCAAAGACTGCTGCTGTAGGAACTATGAACATTTAAACACAGTAACTTCAGTTAAAGTTTCTGTCAAATCCTACATGATTATTAAGTACCTGCATTTTTTGTTGGCATCAGAAGAGCTTCTGAGGCATTCTGCTCTGCTCACTTTCCTACAACACACCTTACAGTTCTTTTGGCTTTTTGCTTGCCTTCTGTTTCTTGATCTTGGACTTTGGGTATGTTCTTGTTTATAGGTGCTGCATGCAGTGAAGGTGTGGGTGAAGTTTTGATTCTAATGACTAGGCAGAGTGAATGAGTTATGATGCAAAGGGAATAACCTCACAGAGATGTAAAATAATGATCATCACAGCCTATTGTCAAACTTCAGATATCTAGTCTTCAATGTACATGAAATGTAAAAATAGCATAATAATAGTAAAAAATTTTTAAATACCAATAAATACTTGCTTCCAATAAAAAATTCGTGTGAAAGATAAAAATCAAAGCAGTAAGTGTGGGAAGTGCAGTTCTGTATTAGTATTTCAAAAGTCTGATCAAAGCCTAAGCTACAAGTAATGAAGGATGGAAATAAGTGTTAAACAAACGGGGCAATTTCAACTTTGTCCTTCTGCGGCAGCATTTTTAGGTGTGGGAAAGTAGAGTTTGTTTAACCAGCTTGCTAAATAACAGCCTGAGCCATTGCTAGAGAACTAGAATACTTTGAATTTGTGTTGTAAAGTCTGTAGGACACTTAAAATTCAGGGTCTTACTGTGCTAAGAGCTTACTGATTTCATGTTTCTTTCTGAAGCATGCCTATCTGCTTTACTAGTGAAAAATAACCTTTTATGCATGTAACTTGCAAGATCTGGTTTAAGTCTATTATTTGGGGAAAAAATTATATCTGGATGTAGAAAATTCAACTGTATAAAGGATGAAAAATTTATTTCATTCAGAATATCCTTATTGTTGGAAGTAGGTGTGTACAACTTGATAAGAGGCTCTCTCTTTTTTGGTAGTCCAGTTTCAGTTGCAGCAATGATTTATGATGAAAAGAATATTAATCTTCCTAGCTGCAAACTCTTGCACTGGTATCCTTGCTGTTGTTCTCTACAGAAAGAAATCGAAGATGAATATGCTGCTAGACTGACTTAGCATGAGGCCAGCTGCTCCCATGGTGCATATCAATTGTAAGCTTGGGCAAATAAAGAAATCTCTTAGTAAAGAAGACAAACTGGAACACAGAGAACACAAACAATGAGTAGGAGAAAAATTGTTTGTTGAGTCAAACGGAAATTTTTCTGGCAAAAATTAAACACGTGGGAAGAAAAAAATGGGCTTCATTTGAGTCAGTCCAGAATTTTAAGTGAAATATCATTAACGCAGTTTTTGAAGAGAGGAAGCTTGTATATTCTTGTTAGTTCCTTAAAATGAGTTTTTTCAGACCACAAGCCAGTAGTTTTAGACAAATTCGTCAAAGCACTGAAATTAGGTTTTACAGTGTTAAGAAAATAAACATGTTTATTTTTTTTTCCTTTAACCTCACTGAATTCAGCATCTCTGTACGAATAGTTTTCGGTCCTGCTAAATAATTGGTTTTGGTAAACATCGACTGGAGAAACTCCGCAATTCTAACAAGGGACATTTGCATTTCTGCTAAGGAGAAATACAAGTTTAAAACATAAATGTATTTATGTTTAAATTAACATGATTATTGGTCTTCTGAAGCACTTCTGAAGTGCCAAGGCAAACTGAAATGCTCTTCTACATTCTTACTGCCTTTAGTTTGTTTGTGACCACAGAAGTCACACAGCCTGCCTACCCTTAACAGTGTACACAATGTGTGTAGGCTGTCATCAAGAGACATACATCTTCTTTTGTGACTTGTTCTCTGAAAGAAAGCCTTCGTTTCTCTTGCATCTTTTTTTTTTTTGCCTGCTTATATGTTTTTTTTGGCATAGCACATCTACTTTCGGCTTCTAAACTGAGCTGTTTCACAGGTTAACCTTTCTTGGCTTTAGCACCCACTTGGAGAAGTGAAGATACTGGGCTGATGGCCTCTGTTCCCGTTAGTGCCTGGCAGATTTGGTAAGTGCCCCCTCTGTCTTTTACCTACTTCAGAACCACGTGTTCACTGGCGATTCAATAATTAACTCCTTGTTTGCCCATGGAGCCTGTTCACCCTGCACTAAACCAAGTGCAGGGCCACTGTGCATTGATTGGTGCGTTTGAATGAGAGAGATCTCTCATAGGGCATTATTAGCAAGCAATTCCACAATTGTACGACTTTTTCTTCTCTGTACTAGCTCTCTGTCTGTCACCAGTTGTGAAAGCTGATGGCAGGCATCAGGATATGACTGCCTGCCTGCTGGCACTTAGGGTATTTTTTTTGATGAAGTAGAAACAAGTTTGTTGTGGATCCTAATTTGTTTGAAGCAAGTTACATATCACCACTTTACATCTCTTTAAAGATCTGTTCGTGACTGCTCAGAATCAGCCTAGGCTATTTCACCCAGCCTAGGTGGAAAACTGGCACTGCCAGTTAATTTTACTGGTCAGCTTTTAGAGCAAGACTGCAAGTATACCCTTAGTATGTTTTCACATGGAGCATAACAAGAAATCAGGACCATAATTACTGGGTGTCAGAATAGACAATAATCTTGCCCACTTGGAAGATACAGACCTGCTCTTAGTGTTAAAAGATATTTCCTAGGCTTCTCTTTCCATACCCGATTTTCATTTGGCATTTCAGAATCAGTACATCCCAAAGGTACTGCTTTATTTTGGGAATAGCCTTGTTCATTCTGCTGCAGGGATTGTCTTGCCAGCCTGCACTGGACCCACATTCTGCCATGCATAGCTTTTATCCACATGATTTTTTTATGTTGTTGACTTGTAATTTACACTTGAACATGTCAGTAAGCAGTGAGGATAAAATACGAAGTTTGCAGCATGTGCAGTGTTGTGAAGTAGAAAAAAAGATCGCAGCTAAATGTATGAATAACCAATAAACTTGCATTGTCTTGGAAGATTCCAGCCTGAAAGAATACATTCTGTAGTCACTTCTCATGGACTAATAGTAATAGCTTGCAGGCAGCCAACACTAATTTTAAAAAAATTATATGTATGTATTACACTTTTACAACATCAGAAAAGATATAATAACAAATATTAGAAATTAATGATCAGGTGGAAGGGAACAATATCTTTGGATTATTAATAATGATTTTCAGAACACTGAAACTTCATAAAGCCTAGAGGATGTGATGTGATGGAATAGCTTAAATAAAAGAAAAAAGAAAAAAAAACCTAAGGTTGATGCAGATGATTTCAGGCAAGTCAATTTTACATTGATACTTAAAATGTGAGGAGAAAATAAGCAAGCAGCCAGTATTGGATTTCTTGTTCTTAAAGGATTAAAGAAGGGTAACAAATGGCAGTCAATGTAGTTTAATGGAAAGTATCTCTAGTTCAATTGATACTGATCTTTAAAACTATCAATATGATCAGCCACACTTATGAAAGAAATTCTTACCTTTAGAGTAATGCTGCATAATTCGTTGACTAAGAAATTTCAAAAATACAGCTCCCAAATTCCTCAAAATGGATAAAAGGGAAGTAACCAATTGACGTCAGCTTTGATGATTCCCAGCTAACACACAAAGCAGAGGGTGTTAATCATGTAATCTGGGTATTAATTTTTAGCCTGCAATATTTTAGCTTTTTATTAAAAGGAAAAATTCTTAGAAGCCTACTTATAATGGATATTTTTAATGCAAACACTTAGTTCATAAAACAGAATCACAGGAAGATTTGTTTAAAGAAATACACCATGATGTTGGTAGTCATGTGCTGTCTAAGTGAGCACAATTGTTCTCAGGTTTATGCACCGAATGATCCTGATGTTTGGTAGTGAGCATTTAGCTGTTGGTCTTCATCAATTTTTTTTTTTTTTGAGCCATCTCCCCTAGTTCTTTCAAGTCCTTATGGTACCATATAGTTTGGATAGAATTAACCAAGCTGCCAGTTAGGCCATTCTGCTGTTAAAAAATATATCAAACCTGGAGTTGATCAGGTTTTCTTTTGAAGTAGTCCAAAATGAAATGTCCTTTTCCTCTAGTTCTGGACTGGAGTTGTTTTGATTTGGGGTTTAGGTAATTTTTTCATTAAAATATTTGGAAAACATTATTGAAAATATTGGTTTCATTTTTTCTTGTGTTGGCCACAACAAAAATAGATAGGATTTCTTCTTTTTCTAGTAATTGAGTGTGTGGGAAACATGATCAACAATTTACTTGTTGTTTTGACCAGCTTCTTAGTACTGGCAAAAGCAGGGAAACATTTTTGGTACTGCAGTTGACATTGGTAATTATCTTATCAAAAGGTATTTTCCTAATGATTTCTTGTTAGATAAATGCCAACAGACCTAGTCAAGACTAGGTTAGAAGTCTCCTGTCTAACCTGGTAGCTGCCACTGAGAAGCCCACTGGTTACCTATTACCTGAGGTATTTGGGAGTGTAGTGGGAATCAAGCTGAAGCTGGCAACGTTTGGAAGGGCGGCTGCCTTACTGTTCTGAGCATGCAGTGCATGGTGATCTGAACGAGACTGTAGCTCTGCACCCAGTGCTACTCCCTGTGCTTAATCCTTCAGTATTTTGCTTTTAACCTGGGAATGATTTCTGAGGAGGTGTAACATCAACCTGGGAAATTTGCATCAGTGCCAGCCATGTGCTGGATTTCTGTTTTCTGGGAAGATAGAAAATATGCCCCTCTTCTTCCTAACCACATAAGTCAAACATCCTGTAATTTAAGTAATCTAAATAATCTTCTGCCTCTGATATCCTGCTGCTTCAGTACACAATGACCCAAGCACCTAGTAGTGCTGAAGCTGCTTCTCCTTGGTGCATGTCTCTTGCTGGAGGTGGTGTGGAGGAGGGGAAGGAAGATAGTTTAAACAGTTTTTTATCTCTATTGGATCCCTGTCAGTAAGGGGAGGCGGAGGTGAAGAGCAATGACCTGAGCATAGCAAATGTTGTTACCCTGTTGCATCATAATTATTTCATTTCTGAGAGGAAGTTAGAAGCAACAACAGCAATAAAAGCAGTGGTTTCTGCCTTGTCTTCCAGAGCAGCTTTAACAGGCATCTCTACCATGACTCTGCACTGCTTGCAGATTTTTCTCTTGCTTCTGCTTGGTTCATGGTGGCCAGACTCAGAGCAGCATGTGGCAGGAGCTGTGAAGGTCAGAGAGCACTATATAGCTGCACAGATCACCAGCTGGACCTACAAACCACAACCTGAGGAAAAGTCCAGGTAACAAAGTACAGGATAAAAGGATGAAATTAGTCCTCCCTTGGGACTGACAAGTGTTTTTTGTCTCTCATCTCTTGTGGAATTGCAGAGACCAGGAGGACTTTGGAGCACAATCTCTTGATTTCAGAGGAACTTGGTTGACCTTAAACAGCATGATCTGAACTATAGCCAGTGACATATTAAAAGCTCCTTTTTATTTGCTGCATTAGTGGATAGAATTATTTTTATGCTTTCAGAGCACTTCTGTTAAATAAGCTCCAGGACTTGCTTTTGTCATTTTTGCATAGCTTAATGTTGGTTGCTTGGGGTTTTTTAATGTGTTTATTTTAGGTACATGGATGTTGAGCAATGTTGAGCCATGGTTTGGTAAGATCTCAAAAACTTTAGGACTTTAGAATTTGCTGAAGGAATAATTATGTTCCCGTTTTGATGCTATCACTTTCACTTAAACCAGAGCCAGATGAACTTTGGAACTAGTACCATTTCTGAGTTGTTCAGAGCTTTTGTGAAGTGTACACTCTGATGAGTAAAGGTGGTAAGATCAAGCATTTCTCTGCTTTATTAAGTGAAAATACTGATATTATTTTTTTCAAATAGCATTGCACAGTGGCCAGCCTACCTGCATCCACCAATCAAGAATATAAAATACGTTATTTTTATTACTACTACTGTCCTTAGCATTATAAACACTGCAAGAGCAATGCTACAGATTTCAGAACATGGATGTAATTTCGAGTTGTCCTTAAATTAGGGGGGAGAACTACTAAAAATGAAACATTAATTTAAAATTACTTGTCCTCCTACATTAAAAGGATTTTTTTATACTGCTGCTTTTTATATGTATATATAGGTGGATGACTTTTTTTTTTGGTGATTATTTTTTTCTGAACATGTATTGCATTTCAGGATAATATGGAAAAGATACTTCCAGTTCAGATTATGACTTTCTAACTTTTTTTTTCCAAGATCTAATTATAGCAAAGTTCCTTGGTTTTAAAACCCCCTTGACAATTTAATAGAACTGGTATAAGCATAATGTCAAACTGGCAAGACAGAAGAAAATAGGATTTAAAGGTAGGGACATGAAGCCAGCTGCCATTTAAGTATTGACCTGGACATGTGAATTTACTAGTTAAAGCTTCATTCTCTTCTACACTGTGTGCATCAATGTAAACATCAACTGCTGTTTGGGTAAATTCACATTGTGGATGGAGTGTTTTCATGCAGTAGAGACTCACAAGACTGTCTGAAACCTCAGCTGAAGATAACCCAGCAGTATTTTATATTCAATGTCTATTGGGTTACTTTGCCTAAGTATTTAGAGCCAGCCACATCCCAGATGGGACTAATGAATTTTATAGAGCTTATAGAAATTTAACTAAAACCCAAAACAAACAAGCAAAAAAACCCAACAAAACCACAAACTTAACCTCAAAAAACCAGAAAAACAAAAGACTTTACAACACAAATACACTTACTGAGGAAGAGTTAATGGCTTGATGGCTTGGATCCGAAAGGTATTGGGGTATGTAACTTGTGCTGATTTCAGTAGAAGCTGCATGTCTATATGCAGTATAAGAATCTGTTACTTTGGTGCTTTTATTTATAAATAACTTGAGAGGTTGAAAGGAAAATGGATTCTTCCCAAGCTGTTTCCTTAATTGTGACTAGAAAAGAACACCTTATTTCTCTGAGTGTTAGTTTTATCTTTGCAGAGGTTTGTTACTATATACAAATGCTATTTATTTATAAGGCACTTCAGGATAAAGTGAATATGTATTATCTGTGCATCTTGCGGTGTTGCTGCTGCAATCCCTGGAAGTTCTGTAACTCAACCTGCTTGTGTAGTGTGATGTTTCTGAAGTGTTAGTGTGCTAGGTATTTTATTCATCCTCGCTATAAAATTGGCACTGCTAAATTTCCTCTTCTATCCTACAGTCTTACGTGCATATTCTCATGAGCCTTGCCACATTAGGGCAGCTCTTGTCAATGAACATTATGGATCCCATCCTTTTCCCCTTAAAGAGTTACACAAAATTTTATCAATGACTTTAAGAAGGGGGGAATTAATTGAAGCACCAATTGCTTCTGCCTGACTCTGCTGTGGTGAGAGAGGGGTGCAGAGGAATTTACAAGAGATCTCTTCCAAAAGAGATCTCCCCCTTATGGGCTCTGGATGTCACTGAAGTGGGTTCTCTCTGCTCAGCCTCCCCATGCTTGAGCAGGCCATCAGCTCCTCACTGTGAAATGTGCCTGGAAGGGCATTACAAAGAGAGCAAGTGGAATTACTGTTGGATTCAGTCATCATACATACTATAGTAAATCAACCAATAAATGTGAATGGCTGTTACCCTTTCAGCCCTCTTCTCATCATTGTTTCCATTGCAGAAGTGTCGTTTGCTGGTTTCCTTCTGCTTGCCTAAATATTTTCTAAGAAAACATTGTGTGGTCTCCTGGGTGTCAAATTGTTTGTGTAACAAGACTCAGGGCACTTTGCAGTGGAAAGTGTCCTTAGTCTTGTTTCTCATTTTCTAGCTTTCTGTGACATCCTTGGTTGTTGTCAGAGAACAGCTTTGTTCTTGCCTTCAGAGTCATTCCTGTGACAGGAGCTTGCTGTTAATGCTGTTTTAAAACCCTTCTGGTGAGTCTTAAAGTTCAACCATAGGGCTGAATAAACAGAAATTCAGGTTTCTTTTCCTCTATTTTGTCAGATGCTTTCCAGGTTAAATATGGTTGAGACATCTTCCCCTGTGTCTTGGACAAAACAAAGGCATCTTTATACTTTTATAGAATCAAAAGGACCCATAAAAACCACCTGTAAAATCATTGGTGAACTATTCTAGGTATGGATATTGGATGCCCTATATGACATTATCTGGTTCAGGAACATCATAAATTCAATAGAGTAAGAGGGAGAAGTGAAGACACTACAAAGAGTTGGACTGTGTTCTTTCCTTCAGCAAAATGTGCACGTGATTAAATATATTTCCAAGATTCATTTTTTGAGATTTCCATCAAACAGCAATGGCATCTCTGAGAATCTTCGTCCTTTCAATATTTTTTATAACTCTTTTGGTTTCAGATTGGAACATTCAGATCCTGTATTTAAGAAAATTTCTTACAGAGAATATGAAGTGGATTTTAAAAAAGAAAAACCAGCAAATACATTTGCAGGTAAACAGGAATGAAATGTCCTGAGTATTTTGATTTGTTCCTTATTTTAAAGCCTGTGGCAACCTAAGCACACTTGTATTTTTGCATCCATTATTTGCACATAAACCAAATAGGCACAGGGGATGAGGTCTCTACAGTGCAGGACCGAGACTTCCAAAGGCCATGGAGAGGTTGGGCTTTCAGAGGATGTGGCTGTCTGCAAATCAGTTGCACCATACAAAGTTGTTCCCTTTGTTTTCAGCATCTGATGAGATTTACCACATGCATTTAGATTTGGCACAGCCACAGCAATGACACTATGAATTCCTTGTGAAGGAGCCTAAGGCCTGAACTAAATATATACTAAATAGTTTACCAGAAAAGAGACTTACAAGCCAAAACTTATCTTAGCAGCTTTTTCAATTGCTTGTTTTTGCAACATGGGGAGTAGGGATACCAGCTCTTGAAATCTTTTGCAGGAAATGCCTCAAGAAATTTGCAGTGTGGAAATGATTATTTACTTGGATAACATTTGGGAATTTAAAGTGCTCTTTGTTCTGTGACTTCTGGCATTCAGAGTGCTGCTTAAAATATAATGTGTTTGAATGCCGTTCTCTAAACTCTTAAATTATAAAATGTTTATCTTCTAAAATTATTTAATGAAATTGTAAGTGAAAGATGTCTAGAAATTTTCAATGAACCTCAGGATGAAACTTTTGAAAGAGTTTCTGTATCTGTAAATAACTTTTTCCCCCTTTTTTTCCCGTGATTTTTAAGTGCTAGTTGCCAGATGCAAAATTTATAACATTTTGGAATATGCACTATATCCTTTACGTTCCCATATGCCTTTTTATGGGTAAGTCTTCATTGCAGTGTTATTACATTCTCTATTAATTTTGAGACTTGTATTTTGAGAACTAATATTTTTTGAAGGAGGAGAAAATTCTTTGTTTCACTGAACATAGTGTTTTATTAATATTTTCCTTTCTTTATCTTAAATAACTACAGGACTTCTGGGACCAACCCTGCGTGCTGAAGTGGGAGATACTTTAGTGGTTCACCTTAAAAATATGGCTGACAAGCCAGTCAGTATTCATCCTCAAGGCCTAGTTTACAGCAAAAGTGAAGAAGGTAAGTACTGCAGAAACTCCATGTTTTGCTCATTTGCTTATAGACTACCGCATGAAATGTTGACAGGGATCTAGATCAATGTGTGAAGCTATGTGTAACACAAATACCTGTTTATCCTGGATTACACCTTCATTGTTAGCTCCCTTCTTGTTCATCACTGTAACACTGGCAATGTGAGTGTCATGAGCACAGTTTCCTAACAGTGCTGATCATGCTGTTCTGATACTCAGGATTTAATGCTCAGCTTTGTGGTGCTTTGTTCCACACCCTCATGAGACCATCAAAAACAGATTATAAGCTATGACCAAATGGACATTAAATTTCTGTACCAGCACTAAGTGAGTTTGGTTGCTCATGCTTCCTGGATTGCCCTGCCCTGGGTGCTGAGCCAGAGCTTTGGCCCACAGTGTACAAATTCATGCAAGGTTTTGGTTGCAAAAGGAGTTTTGCAGCTCCATCTCATGGAATTGAACAGAATATCTCATTGGAAGGGATGGGCAGTTCAGTTTGACTGTCATATTAATTAATGTTCCTTTTGCACTTCAGATTTCAATTCTCTGTCTCTGCTTTGTCATATTGCAGATCTGTTGGATATGGCAGGCACAGGCAGGAGCCATTACTGCCTCCATGTGTGGATGTGCAGTATACAAAAGGCCTAAGGCAGCAAGGCAGTGCCAGCCCATGCAGTGGCTTTGAGAGACAGTTAGAAAGGTGACAGAGTGGGCAGCATTCCTCTGCCAACCATCAGTGAGCAGAGGCTGAAGCTTCATCCCATCCTAACCCTACTCAGACTGGTGAAGAGCCCAACCTTTTGGCAGTGATAATACTTCCAGGAAATCTTTCATCTGTAAGAAATAGGATGGTGGTGGAATAGCTACTCTCCCCATGCTACTCTCAGCAATGTGTGAGTGGAATCATGAGTTACTTCTTTGAAGCTGAAGTATCATATACACAAGATCAAACCAAGCTTTTGGAGCTGATTATAGGAAGATATTCCTAGCACTTTATTGCTCTTTTTCTTCATACCACCCTACTGACTCTTTTCTTGACAGGCTCCCTGTATGATGACAGAACATCACCTGCAGAAAAGCAAGATGATGCTGTACTTCCAGGCCAGCTCTACACATACGTGTGGGATATACCAGAAGAAGTTGGTCCAAGAGAAGCTGACCTTCCTTGTCTTACTTATGCTTACTATTCTCATGAGAACATGGCAATGGATTTTAACTCTGGTCTGGTTGGAGCGTTGCTGGTCTGTAAGAAAGGTAATGAAATGCTGTAAGACTACTATAAGGTAGTATATTTTCATTTCTAACAAAGATGATCATGTATGGTAATGAGAGAAGATCTATTTTTTTTTTCACATCTTTACATGCAGTTGAATGTTTTTTAGCATCATTCTTTTAGATGTTAGAATTTTTAAATGCCAGCTTTCATGCAGTTTCATCCTATAATTATAGAATGGGCAGAAAACATCATTATATAGATACATTTGCCTGCACTGGTTGCATTTGCAGTTGCTTAACTGCTAAATATATGACTTCAAATGTCCTGTCTAAGAATAAATATTTTCTAAACCTTCATTCAAAATGGTTTGGCCATTTCAGAGAATAAGGCAGGAAATAATTGTTTTACCCATTGTCTTTTAAAGGCTGTCTGATCAAGAGCCTAGAACACTCTCTCTTCTGTAACCTGGCTTTAAAATTGTAGAGCAGTGTGTCTTTTGCTAGTCATTTGAAGATATGGCCAAATTTGAACAGATTTTAAGTCTTAAAATTGTTTTTGAATGTGATCAGAGATTTTAGCAGTCTGAACCGTTGAATTCCATCTCCACTAATAAATGGTATCTTGTAGCACTTGTAAATGGCTGCTAGATACATCTCTGTGGTTTGAGTGATGACTGAAACAACATGCCACCGTGTAAAGTACTTAAACTACTTACTGGTCCCTAAAATCCAAGGTTTTTCCAAATTACATATCCTTCTTGTGGTGGACGTGCCGTGAGTTATTTAACCTGATTTAGTTTGAGTCAAAAATTTGTGTAGACTAAACTGCATGGACTTGGACCTTAAAGCTTCCCTGAAAGTAAACAGAACACTGGTTCACTGTGGGTTGCACAAGAACAGTCTCCTCACCCATAGATACCCATTTTAATGCAGAACAGATCTACTCTTATCACCTCAAAGGAGTTGCTTTGTTATTAATTATGTTCCTTCTGATTTTTTTTTTATGATTGGTGCTTTTAGTATTATTTAGGACTTGTTATTTTCCTGATTTTTCTTGAGTTTTTCTTTTCTTTTATGGCGTACTGGTTGAGCTAATCTGGGCAAATACTTTGAAACTACTTCCTTCTCAGGCTTCTCAAATTCATGCATTTTGGGCTTGAGTAGGACATGAATTTGAGATTGACTGGTGTGACCACTGCCTTCAAGAAAATTTGGGTGTATGTTTCTGGCTAGAACAAAGACAAACAGCTCACTATGCATATTTTGAAGATTTCCGAACACAGATTTTTGTCTGGGCACTCTGGTAAATGTGCGGTGTACCTGTGTATTTGGTCTGCCTGGCATGGAGTTTAGTTTCTTCACGGCAGCTCATATGGTTCTGTGTTTTGGATTTGTGGCTTAATGGCATCCATAATACACTCACCCATGTTTGAGCTGTTGCTGATCAGTGCTTGCACAGTGTCAAAGCTTTCTCTTTTTCCTGCTCAGACCTCCTCAAATGGTGAGTTTGGGATGGACAAGGGGTTGGGAGAAGACCCATCTGGACAGATGAAAGAGATTGGCCAAAGGATTATTTTCTACCATTAACATCATTCTGCAGTAAAAAATGGAGGCAGAGGAGGAAACAACAGTGTGGGGAGAATGGGGGTGTTGACTTCCAAGATGACAGTTTTTGAGATATTTACTGGGCATCAGTCAGCTTGTGGGAGATGAGTGGGGGTTTTTTTCTGTGTTGTTTGTTGTTTTCCCTCTTTCCTTCACCTTTGAACCGTCTTTATTGACCCATGAGTTTTCTCATTTTTGTTCCTCCTGTTCTCTCTCCCGTCCCATTGGGGATTGGAAGGCATTGAAGTGGGTGTTTGGCTGCTGTTTGGGGTCAGCTCCCCATGGTCTGACACATTTAAGAGGTGGTTAAGCTTATAAAAATTGGACCTTTGAGTTAAAGCACTGCCTGAATGTTCTTTGTGTGGCAAGTAGATAAATTTCTCTGTTAATCTGAGGCTTCTTTTGTGAAGGAAACCAGAGCTTTGTAGCTTCCCATAAATTTAAAAAATATATTGAAGATAATTTCTTCCACTCCCTCTTCCTAGGTAGAATAATCAGTACATTTGCAAATTTTTCATTCTTGCAATCCAGAGGGACCAGATTATGTTTTGAAAGTAGCAAGTGGAAGTTTTTGATGTGAGCAATCTACAGAAAGAATCAGTAAAAATCACACCAGTTCTGTGTGGCATGTCCAGAATGAATTCTACTTCTTGACAAAAATTACGTCTGTATCACAAAATCACCCAGGACTGTTTCTTGTAACTGATCCAGCCACAGCAGTGTCTGTTGAAGTCTTTTGTGTGTAAATGTTGTTTGCCAAGTGGTTGGTTTTAAGCTTTCTAAAGGTGCTGATGACCTCAGTGCTTGAAAAGGTGCTGTTCACACTGCTGGTGACTCTGCCATCACTCTTCTCCTTGTCACACAGTCTGAAAAGAGAAAGCAGCACCAGATTGTGAACCAAAGGTGTTTGACACTCTCCTTCTTTAAGGCGATCTCTGCAACACATTGCCAGAAATTGTCTGAGACAATTCATTGCATGATATTTATCTTCTCTGGAATACTTCAGACTTTTGATTTTGTGCTTACCCAATACAAAAGTACATCCAGAAATAAAATCACATTATGAGCATTCTTCAGGTTTTGTTTTGATCAGGCTCAGCCAGTACATGCTAACAGGTGAAATAAGCTCATTAAATACATATTAATGCAACTGCATGTGAAATCTGCTTTATTTCTGCCCTATACTAAGACCTATTGTTTCTCCTTCACAGGAAGTCTAAATGAGGATGGGTCACAGAAACATTTTGACAGGGAATATGTACTGATGTTTGGTGTGTTTGATGAGAACAAGAGTTGGCAAAAATCAGCATCAGTCAAGTATACAATTAATGGCTATACTGATGGAACGTTACCAGGTACTGTTCCAACTTACATGAAATGAAACTAACATTTATGAACACTGAATATTACCTGTAGTTGCTTTTTATGCACAAGAATGGGAATGTGGAGAAAAGGGATACAGCGTTTTTTAGAATGTGTCTGTGAGCATCTAAATTCTGGAAGAAAAACTGTGCTGCTGAAAGGAAGTAACACCAGATTACTGATAGGAACAATGAGATTACCTCTGAGAAGACTTCTGCTAGAAGAAAAGGATTACTAACTTTAAAAAAATATTATTAAGCTCCTCATTTTTTTAACAAGCTGATAGTGAGAGAGTGATTTAATTGTTGGTTCTACATACTGGGTGCAAAACTTCCCGAAAGTGGAAAGTCAGTTATCATTAAAAGACACAATTAAGTGAGAAGACTAGGAAGATGGTAGTGGGGCTTTTCTCTTGTTTTCCTAAGAAAAAACTTAAATATCTCCCATCCATTGAGCAAATATAAAAAATTGTCTTAAATGGGAATTTTTTTAAGAAAATATTGAAGAATATAGTTACTGTCACTAAGTACCAGATCAATCTTTAGCTTAGATCCTTGCTTTGTTCTTTGCATTCCCTGCCCTGTTTTCCCACACTCCCCAAGCAAAGACAGGTCAGCTTTCCAAAAGAAGGCACTGGGGTTTTTTCCATTTTTTTTCCATTTTTTTGCCAGCTTGTTGTAAGTCAGTTTATCACTTGCAGGTAACATTTAAACATTTGTCTTCCACACATGATTTTGGTATCTGTTCCATTTACACGCTTCTGAAACTTCCTCTTGTTGCAAACATTGATCACAGCAGTTTTTTTTTAATGTTTTCAGTGAAGACTCACTTCAAACCTAGGGTGCATAGGGAACTTGCATGATTTGCCTGTATTCTGAACCCTAATCTCATGTCTCTTTTAGATTTAGAAGCTTGTGCATATGACAACATTAGTTGGCACTTGATAGGAATGAGTTCCAAGCCAGAAATCTTCTCCATTCACATCAATGGCCAGTCCATGGAGGAAAAACATCACCGAGTTTCTGCTGTTAACTTGGTAGGAGGAGCCTCAACCACCGTAAACATGACAGTGACTGAGGAAGGAAGGTGGCTCATATCTTCTCTTGTCCAAAAGCACCTGCAAGGCAAGGAAACATCTAGTTATTAGGCACTGTAAAGCTGTTCTTCTCCATGTCCCAAACGGCTTCTGCTGTTTTACAACAGTACTGTTTCAGTTGGTTTTGTCATTTCACTAAGAAAATAACCAAGAACCGGGCGTTCTGTTGGAAGTGCATGTTGAACTGAAAGATACTCTTATCTGCAGCTTTACTGCAGTGTCCACAGCACAGAGCAACAGTGATTCAATACGCCAGCACCTAAGTCTCTGTGAACTGTTCAGATAAGCACCACTATAAAATTAGTAAGAATCCACCAATTTCCTGAGAAACTGAGTACTTTCAGCTAAGGGTACTTCAATGTGATGAAAATATTTTCTCTTTGCCATTTGAAAGTGGTATCTTTCAGCAATAATCAGAATTCTGTTTTAAAGAATGAGAAAAACATCTCTCTTTTAAGAGCAGGAGATATCTTTCAGGGGTAAAAAACAGCTGAAGTGGTAAGAGTTCCTCAGATGGGCAATCACTATGGTCCTGTTTCCTCTCAATTAGCTGGAATGCACGGTTACCTCGCTGTAAGGGATTGTGGGGACAAAGAGGTGAAGAAGAGTCGTCTCTCCTATAGAGAACGTCTTATGGTCCAAACCTGGGACTATTTCATTGCTGCAGAAGAAGTTACCTGGGATTATGCCCCAAGAATTCCAGACACCCTTGATAGGTAAAATACTGGTTTGTCTGTATAATAGAGAATGTTAACATGAAATCACAGGATAATTGTGGTTGGAAAGAACCTCTTGGTATCCAATAGCAAAACTGGATCCAGTTGCACTGGACCTTATGCAGTTGCATTTTTATTGTTTCCAAGTGCAGGAACCCTTCAGCTTCTCTTGGCATCTTTGCAGCTTCACAGTGAAAGAGTTTTTCCTGATATCTAAATGTTCTTCCTCATATTGCACTTTGTGGCCATTGTGTCTCATCTCTTCACTGTGCGGCTTTGAGAAGCACGTGGTCCTGCTGTCTCTATAACGTCAGTTTGATAATTGACGTTAAACATAAGATGCTCCCTTAGCTATGTCTTTGCCTGACTGAAGAAACTGGAATTTTGCTTCTATGCCAGGTGCTCTGGCTCCCTGATCACCATGGTGGCCCTTCACTGGACTCTCACCAGTGTCAGTGACTTTTTTTGCTGAGAAGCCCAACACTGGGCACCTTCTTTTTCCTCTCACAGTGAGCTCAAAATAACAAGGTGACTGAGGAATTGTCCAAAGCAGCATACAAGATTATTTTCTAAAATACTTTTCAGCATCAATTCTGGTGAAATAAACAATCCTTAGAAGGAGGGGATATTTCTGGAGATTATAAGTTTTTAAAAGTTCAGTACAATGAAGTGTTTAGGGAACAGGAGAAAGAGCTCTCTAAATGATGTCTGCATAGTACCAATGTAGATGGAGTACAAGTCATAATAAAGAAGCATATTGGGCTATTTTCTCAACTTAAGACAAATAGAAGGAATTCTGTAACATACATGATGTCATAGTGTACAGTGCTGTCAGTGCACTGTGGGGTTTAATTTGCGATCTGTCAGTTCCCCAGTGTTATTTGTGCCTCTATGAGCCTTTACAAGCTGCTATTCATAACAATCTTTAAGGATTTAAGCAGAACAAATTCCTTGTTCTGTAAGGGTTATAATTTCATATGCCTCCTTAGAAATATAGTGTTTGCGCAACTCATTCTCCTTTGGCATGATTTGCTTCCCTTATGTGTTCTTGAACTGTGCAGAACAAATTTAATGTATCTTTCCTGCCACTCACACTGCCTTACTTAACCATCTCAGTGCTCTGATTTTTCCTCCTTTGTTCAAAACTGCAGTTTATCCCTTTTCAGTAACCTGTTTTGAAGTGTGAGTGACAACAAAAAGAAGTTTGAAACCTCAGTATAACACTACTTACTGTATAGTGCCTGACTGGGATTAAGATTCTGTTCCTATTTCTCCTGGAGTCTTTGCTACTGTGAGCAAATTGGGGTTTTTTTCCTCCATGATCAACTAGGCCTTTGAAAAAGGAGAACAGTGATTTCTGTCTTACCTTAGAAGTGTACCTGCTGCTTCAGTTTGTTTCATACTTTTATGTACACTATTAAATTAAATGTAAACTCTGATATTAATTGGTCATATATAATGCCAAAGTACAAGTAATGATCTAAGATTCTTCTTACCTAATTTAGGTTAGAATTTGGGGTGAGAAGCATTAGGTTAGTTTAGGGTTTGGCTTTTTTTTTCAAGCAGTGAGATTTCTACCAGTTGCTTGAATACTAATTTTGTATTTTAACAGATACTACTATTCAAGTTGTGTTGATCATTTTTCTTTTCCTTTATTTTTAAGACACTATAAATCGCAACACTTGGACAACTTCTCCAATCTCATAGGTAAAAGGTATAAAAAGGCTATTTTTACACAATATACTGATGCCAGCTTCACTAAACGTCTGGAAAATCCTCGTCCCAAGCAAACTGGAATTTTGGGCCCTATTATCAGAGCTCAAATCAATGATAAAGTCAGAGTAAGTAACACAAATACAGAGATTATTTATACTATAATATGCTTTATATTGAGGCAGAGGTACAAAGGAATTAGTTTCATTTTTGTTGTCTTTCAAATAATATAACTAATGTTGTCAATATTGGCCCTGTTAAAAGGTATGATCACAAGTGTTCCTTCCATAGTTTCCATGATTGTGCTTTATTTTACAACATAAACATGCTTCAGTCACACTCTGTAAAACATGTGTTGACACTGGTCCAAAATGGGAAAGAAGCCCTAGACCTGGGTGGACTTCCTAGGGAATTTGTATGTGAGGCTGAACTTCATGAGCCTCTTGTTTCTTATGCTGGTTTTTTTTTTTCCAGCTGTTTTAGACAAAGGTAATCAGGTTCCATAATCAAATGTTGTTTCATGAGGTTATATCATGAAACTACAAAATATTTGCATTACAAGCTTGTGCTGCCACTTGTCTTTCTGTTGTCATTTAATGATGCATCACAAAGTTCCATAACCTTATCTTCTATCATTTCCACCATGAGTCTGTGGCTCTGAATTTGAGCTTAGCATGTGCCTTTTTTTCTTTTCTCTTTTTCTCTCCCATTTTTGGGGTTTTTTTGGGGTTTTTGGGGGTTTTTTTGTTTGTTTGTTGTTTTTTTTTTTAATCCTAATTTTGTCAAGAATAGGCAGGAAATCTTGCCTTTTCCATACATATCCCCTCTGGGTCTTAGAATCTGGGACAAGCTTCGGTTTGAAATTTTTTTTCGCCAATATTGAAGGTTTTTAAGAACTTCAGTCAGTAGCTTCATATCTCCAGAGACAGTGTGTGCTTTGTAGCTAGAAGAACAAGTGTTCTTTTTAGACCTTCCACAGCCCAGCTGTAAGCAGCTGAACTTCATTCAGTGGGGTCTACAAAGTCCAACAGAATGGTAACAGCTTTTATTCTTTGTGTTTATATATCAAACAATACTTAAGACACTCTTTTGCCTTTCTGGCACTTTCTGGGCTAAAGCCAGGAAAATTCTACTGTAGTGGTGACTTCACTATGTATTCAGACAAGGATTTGTTGAATCCTAATTTTTCTTTTCATTTACCTATTAATATAGATTGTATTCAAAAATAAGGCCAGTCGACCCTACAGCATTTATTTCCATGGAGTGACACTTGCAAAGAATGCAGAAGGAGCTGATTATCCTCTGGATCCCACAAGTAAAAAATTTGTGAAATATATTTTTGCATATCACTAACTGTTATGGATGGTTTTGTTGCTTTGAAGGAGGTGCTGTGGCTGGGAATGTGCATGACTGGGAGACCTCAATTCTGTTCTCTGCCTCTGCTTACCTGTTGTGTTGCCTTATAGAGAAACCAAGGTATTATCTGCAAAGCAGAGACAAATACCCTCTATTTGTTGTATTAGTTTTCTGTTCTTGTTTGTAATTTTTAGAGAGACAAAAGTTCTTGCTGAATTTCAGTTATCTCAAGGTAGCTTTTAATGGCCAAACTACACCAATGTCATTACTAAGATCTGGCTCTGAGTTTGTATCATTACTGTTCTTGTTTTTCCTTAGGCAATGGCACCCAGAGTAGAGGAGTTGAACCAGGGAATACGTACACTTATGAGTGGAAAATTGCTAAAACAGATCAACCCACTGCACAGGATGCGCAATGTATTACAAGGCTGTATCACAGTGCTGTAAATATTGAGAGAGATATAGCCTCTGGACTGATTGGCCCACTTCTGATTTGTAAAAGTGAAGCACTGACACAAAAGGGTGTGCAGGTAACTTGTTTGAACTGATTTTGCTCAAATAATGCTATTTATTCTACACTGAATTTAGTTTTACTTCACTTAGAGAATTGTTCTGTGGAGAGCAGTTAAACCAGTAGGCTCCTGTCCTCCTCTAACTGTCCACAGCAGTAAAGGAATTATGTTCTGTGTTTCATAGCAAGTGCTAAGAAAGGTCAACAAAAGGTCAGCCTGACTTTAAAGTCTATTTCTAGACTTGATAATAAATTTTCCTGCTATTATTATATTTTCATACTCTGAAGATATTCATCTCTTACTTGGCTCCTTTCTGTAACAGAGACAGCTCCACAGAATCTGACAATGTCAGGCACAATGAATCTAGAACAACCAAAACAGCATGGGAGAGTTCTGGGAGATGGCTTCCCTTTACCAGTTATTGAAATCTTGCTTGGCAAAGATTTAAGGATCACTTGAGAGAAAAAATGTCAGAAGCTTTGTCAGGTCAAACCAGAAGTCTGGTTCTGTTACAGAGAGCCCAGTCATAAACCATCTGTGTATCACCAGTGCTAGAGGCTTGCTCAGCATTCTACTGCAGGTTGGTTGCAGTAGTAGGATTGAAGTCTGGAGCCTCTACTCCCTTCCACATAACCTTTGGATGACACTTACCAGGACTCTGATGAAACTTATATTGCTTACATAGTAAGAAAGAGATTGTAGGATTGAGTTCTTAATACGTGTGCCTGCTGATAAAATGTAACTGCTATGTTGATTGTGTTTCAGAAAAAGGCAGATGAGGAGCAGCAGGCAATGTTTGCTGTGTTCGATGAAAATAAGAGCTGGTACCTAGAGGATAACATCAAGGAATACTGCAGCAACCCAGCCACTGTTAAAAGGGATGATCCCAAGTTCTATAACTCGAACATAATGCACAGTGAGTGGAATATTGAGATGAATAATAGGAATGGTTATATGAACCTGAGCACTCAGTGATTGCTTGTTCTCAGAAGTACATGTGACTGGGGAATCCTCCAGAGAGTCAGTGAACTTCTAACTGTGCCAGGTGACACTGGACAGAAATAAGAAATGTCATAGAATTAGAAAGGCTGGAAAAGACCTCCAAGATCAAGTCCAGCCTCACACCTAATACCAGCATGCCCACTAAAGCATATTGCAGAGTGCCGTGTTCACTTCTTTTTTGAACACTCCCAGAGATGATGACTCTGCCACTTCGTTTGGGAGCCTGTTACAATGGTTATCCACTCAGTGAAGAAATTTTTCCCAATATTCAACCTGAACCTCCCCTGGTGGAGCTTGAGACCATTTCCCCTTGTTTTATTGCTGGCTGCCAGGGGGAAAAGGCCTACCCACACCTCGCCACTAGTAGCTGGGCTAGCTCTGGACCCTGAAGCAAAGACAAGGGTTAACTAGATTTTGATGCAGCACCTTGCTGCCTTAGAGATAATATTTACAGAGATGGAAATTATCATAGTTTCAGCCCTGTGCCAGTCTCTTTCCAGTGCACTGACATCAAGGAATAGGAAGTTTTAAAACAGAAATACTGAAACCACTTTTACTTTGCTTTCCTTTTAGCAATAAATGGCTATGTGTCTGACAGTAGTGAAATCCTTGGATTTTGCCGAGATACTGTGGTTCAGTGGCACTTTTTCAGTGTTGGCACCCATGATGAGGTTGTCTCTGTTCGCCTTGCTGGACACTTTTTTCTGTACCAAGGGAAATACGAGGATACATTGAGCCTTTTCCCCATGAGCGGAGAATCAGTCACAGTGGAAATGGACAATGGTGGTAAGTGGTGGAACTGTAGTGTTTGACAGCTCTTCTAAGACATTATTTAATCTCCAGTCTATAAGGACTTATCTAAATAGGAGAGAAAACTCTTTTGATAAACAGTGCTAGAAAACATTGAATCATTCCCCGGTGCAAGTGATGTGCATGGAGTCTTTCTGGCTACACCAACTTAGCATAACTGTATGCTGTACTGAGGCTCTTTTTGTTGGTCATCTTGTGATTTGTTTTTTTTTTCACTTCACAATTAGTACTGGGGTTAGTAATAAGGCAAGATTCTTCTCGGAAACCAGTGTGAACTCCATTGTATGATTTCCAGGTTTGCCACATTCTTGTCTATTCTGAGCAGACTAAAATGGACTGAAACTGTCAAATTCTGCTGGTCATTACTGGGCAAAATGGCTACACCTGACCTTAGCCTTCAAGTCATTCATTAGCAGTAAAGTCTGCCTGCCTGAACCAAGTCACTGGTCTGTGGGATGCATCTCAATATCTAGCTAGAATTAGCACCATGTCTTGGAAGAGGGGGCATCAGAACCCATGTAATCCACATTTAAGGCATTACTTCTAAAAGGACAGATTCTGTGTCATTGAAGTCTGTGCACTTTGAGTGATCATTCTAAAATCTCTCAAGGTTTAAGTATCCTTATCCCATTTAAAATATCTTACTTTTTAAAAATATATATATTTTATATATTGCACAGCATCAAGACCTTATAACTTAAAAATGTTTAAGTGGCTTGTATTGCTCAAGACTAGAGAATCATTAGAACTCTATTAGACTTTATGGAAACCTCCCCAGTAATAAAGTTGTATTTTTGCTTGATTTTGGTATGCAATCTGTTCTTTCCATCTAGAGCATATTTTCTTTGATAAATGTGCTGTTGTTAGAAATCAGGAAAGCTGTGCAGGTCACTTCAAGCTGATCAGTACAGGAAGAATTGTACGTGACCTTTTTAAAAAAAAAACCTGTTTCTCAGGGTGTTAGTTCTGTCTATTTTTTCATTTCTACTAGTTCCAAAATCAGGGTGTAACAAGCAAAGAACTTAATTTGATGTTGTTTAGGGAAACAGATTTTATTTTCTTCTCAGAATATTCTAGTTTCCAATAGAGAACTTACCTTGTGATGAGGTTTGGAGGAATTATCTTTACATTAATCAGAAATGCCTCAGATTGGCAGCTTAATAGCTTTTGTCAGATTGGAAATTCAAATTGCTTTATTCTTATTTTACTTATTAAAGATCATCCATGATTCATCCAAAAGCTTTTAAAACACTGTGTATGTCAGATGTTTGCCAGCATTGCCTCACAATGCATTTGCTCTGCTCAGAATGTTCTATCTATGTAGCAGTGCATGTACCAGTAAGGACAGGATAGAATTGAAACTTTATCTTGAGAGGTCTCACTCTTAGATCCAGATCTAAACATAGGATCCTTTAATTTGTTTCTTTCTTTTTCATATCTATCTCTTTCATGGCTTATTTTTGGATCAGGTTCTAGTTACAGCTTAATCTATGGAAAAGAGTTCAATCTCCTAGATGTATTTATATGTGCCCTAATTTGTCTATTTTTAATAATTATTTTTCATTGCAGCTCATAAATATCCCAGATAAAGATTAGCAGTCTGCTATAGCAGGTGCTGTAGAAGCAAAACAAACTATTTGCCTTGGCCACTTAGATGACAGACAATGTCCAGTCTCATAACACTTTTATTTCAATTGCAGGTACTTGGCTTTTGGCATCCTGGGGCACCCCAGAAATGAGTTATGGCATGAGGCTGAGATTCAGGGATGCAAAGTGTGACTATGAGGAAGATGAAACGTTGGATTTTGTGGCTTTAAGTCCCACCAAGACTGAAAGAAAGGCTGTTCCCACCACAGCTGAGCAAGTTGTGCAAGAAAAGGAGGAAAACAAGGAGGAATTGGATTATCAGGATTATCTAGCTTCTGTTTACTCCATCCGAGGCTCAAGAAAGGCAGCAGGTGATGAAGAAAAACAGAATCTTACAGCACTGGCCTGGGAGCAGTACGAAGACATTGATGCCATGAGTTCTGAGGTGGCAGCTGGCTCAGGTCTGACAGCTATAAATAGTAGTGGAACAACAAACAACTCTAAGTTCTTTGAAACTCATATCACTCCTCTTCCCCCAGTCAAGGCTGAAACATTCCAGTCAAATCACACATCAATCACAGCAGAAGAGGATTTATTTTTAGCTACCACAAGTGATGGAGAAGCTGACTTGGTATTTGAGAATAGAAGCCAAAGCAACTATGAAATAGCTCACAGTAACATGTCTGCAGGTGAACACTTGCTGAGCAATGGGGGAGGCCCAGTGAATGTTGCAGAAGAACTTCCAGCTGGTGGAAATGACAGTAAACCTTTTCCAGAAAAATATCAAGAGCAAAGCATGGGAAGAGGAAACTGTACTACTAACAAGAAAAGGAAAAGGCGAAGCTCACTGGCCATTAAGTTTTACTCTGTCCAAAAGATGAATGCCCTTCTAAATCATGTCCGAAATAAAAATGTCTCATTTTCTGACAAGACTGATGCACCTCATTTTGTGCATCATACAGAGAACACATCCAATGAAGCCATGGTGGGAACTGGCAAACTGCAAAATGAATATGATGATGATCTGAAAGAGAAGGGAAAGAAGATGGAAAATGCCATGCACACAGTTAACTTGACACTGGATTTGGACCTCATAGTAGGAGAGGGGTCTAATGCATCCAGCCTTTCTGAACCCAGGATATCCAAAGATAAACCAGCCGATGTTTTTTCTTTAGAATATACATTAGACAATACAAGCCCTAATTCCAGCCCTGCTGTAGTGAAGAACTTAGTAGAAGCATCATTGCCCGGGGCTGGGAAATATTCATCTAAAATGACTAGTAAGGAATGGAATTTGGTGTCTGCAAAGATGAATCCAGGATTAGAGGCAAGCTTAGATAAATCTGCTGGTGGTAAGTTAAATCATCATGGCAGAAATGGTACAGCATCCATAAATAAGGAAGATATGAAGAAGGATCAAGGGCTCTCACATCTAATGGGGGAAAACCAGAAAGTGAGCCACATTCACCCGACTCAGAAAGGAAAGGAGGGAAACAACAATACCTTGACTTCATCTGGAACCTTCATCAAGATCCGAAGGAGAAAGAAGGAAGATGCAAAAATTACCTACTTGCTGAGCCCAAGGAGTAGAAACTCCAAAAAGCCCATCAATTCCGTGGCAGGGTTTGGCCGTGCACTTCCAGGTGGGACCAACCACACAGCAGTGCCGTGTTGCACAGATGCCACCAAGGCAGCCAGTGAGGTCAGCCAGAGTGTGGGTGTGAGCAGAGCCAGGCTCGGCGAGTCGCTGGGTGAAACCATCACCCCGCGGCAGTTCAGGCCGTCCATCACCATCGGGCTGCCCCGAGCAGATGGAGACTATGAGTACGTGATAGGAGAATCCTACAGTGACGAGAGCTCGGGTGGCGAATACGAGTACCATTACGTGAGCTTTGATGACCCCTACATGACAGACCCCAAGGTGAACATCAGCAGGCAGCGTAACCCTGATGACATTGCTGAGCACTACCTGCGCAGCAGAGGCAATAAGAGGAGATATTACATCGCAGCTAAAGAGGTCTGCTGGAACTATGCAGGATATAAGAAAAGGTTTGTCTAAATCCTTTGCTTTCACTTGGCACACCATCCTGAAATCTCCTTGCAGAATGTTGATTCACATGCTGATAAACTTAAAAGCATCTGTAATGTGCCATCTGATTTCTGACATTTCAATGGCACAAACTGTAAGAATTTTCCATGAGAGACTCACACCCCTTAGAAATGTCAGAGTGAGATTACTATAATCAAGCACAACACAGCTAAGAACTCTTTTTCTTTTTTTTTTTTAACCCCCTTTTGTAGACTCACTAGTAACAATCTTTAACACATCGGTTATAAAACTCACTGAGAGGTCAAGAGGGAATCTTGCAGCTTGTTTTGTTGTACTTGAATCTTTTACTTTGTGCTTCAGTTCTTGGTACATGTACACAGGACAGAGACCTCCTTGTGCAAAATATTTCCAGGAATTTAATGGACTAACTGATGGAATCTAGAATGGGATGTGCTTATAGGCAAATTAAATCAGTTTCTAGCACTAGCAGGAAATGGTTCTGGTGTCTCAGTTCTCTGTTGGAAAATGGGATAACAGCTCTTTCCAACTTCACTGGGCTGAAGTATTAAAAAGTACATGAAAGCTGTAAGGTGTTTAACCACACTGGTGACTGCCTTATATTAAGTGTAAAAACAAAGCTGAATAAAGTATTATTGTTGCTCCTGCTGTTTAGAGAAATCAGAAGGTGACTGGATCACAAATCCTAATGCTGAGGGATTTTCCTACATTTTGACAGGCAAGACTGGCTACTGTGCCACAGCAAAGAATATGTGAGAATATACTGAGAGAAACACTATACTAAAAATTCACTCTCTTAATTGATACAGGTTAGGATCAGTGCTTACCCAAAAAGGCATAGAATTCTTTGTCACTTTTCATCAAAAAGCTGAACCAAAAGCTTGCCCAACTTTGGATTTTTATCAAAAGCAGCCAAAACAGGAGCAAGAATATTTTCATTATGCAAAGTGAATCTCCAAACATAGATTCTTTCTCAAACTGAATTTCCATTTCATTTGATGGAAATGAAAATAAAACTTTTTCAGTATTCTCCAGGTTTACTCCTGCCTCATCTCAGTCCATATAAATGGCACTTGCAAAAATAGCAGAAACAAGACAGTTTCTTTGGGCACTTGAAAAATCAATAAGTTTTTTTATACTTAGACCTCTATATAGGTCTCTCCAGAAGTGTTTGTCCTCAGCTGGTGTGAGCTGAATAGTTCCAGTGAATTTAAGAGAGCCCGTGGCATATCCTCTCAGTGTGTTAAAGAGCTAAACTCCAGCCTTTCTCCTATGTAACTTATGTTAAATTTCTGGGTTTTGCAGAATTGATAATGAAGCAAGATGTGTAGGTAAGTATAATAGCATTTCAGCACTTCTGTTTAAGATCTGAACAACACTTGGAAGCTGTAAAAGCTTATTTTACCATACCAGCTCTGTGATGCAAAATACAGGTATTATCAGATTAAAATATCTGACAGACAGTACTGTGTAGGTGATAGGCTCACTACACTCAGCCAAGCTCCAATTCAGATTATTAAAGATAAGAAAAAAAGGAAAATAGAGCTCAGATGGGTTTTGAGGGACTTGTTGGAATTTTTCAGGGATAGTTTACCAAATGGTTGAGGGATCTCTTATCCAACTGTAGAACTTGAATTGCTTAAACATTGCAAGCCATGATTTTCAGAATCATCTGAAGCTCATTTTGTAGATTCACAGAAGATTGGAAAACACCTTTAAGACCACTGAGTCCAACCTTTAATCCATTGCCAGGTTTCCATTAACAGCACTGCCAGGTTCACCAATAAACCATGTCCCTAAGAACCACATCCACGTATCTTCTAAACACTTCCAGGAACCAAGACTCAACCACTTCCTTGGGCAACCCTTTTGGTAAAGAAATTTTTGCTAATATCCAATCTAAACCTTCCCTGACACAGTTTGAAGCCATTTGAGTGTTTATTCTTTATATTCCTAGAATTCTAAAATGTTTCTGCTGTATGAGTTCCCAGCTTTCATCAAAGCTAGTATTTCTGATTTCCTCAGAATCCAAGGGATTTTAATTGGGGTTTTCCTTTCAGTGCAATGAGGAATGACAAAACCTGTAAAGATGGCAGCAGACGTAAGGTGATTTTCCAGAGCTACACAGACAGTACCTTTTCAACTCTTCAGGATGAAGATGAATATACAGAACATCTTGGCATCCTGGGACCAGTTATTCGGGCTGAAGTGGACGATGTTATCCTAGTAGGTCAATGTTTTGACTGTGTGTGCAGGATAAGATTCTTACAGTGGTCTTGGAATATGACAGAATGGATCTTTAAATACCACAAATTTTTAAAAGATGATGGAGGGGAAACAGTTTTCAAAGCTAGAAATTGCACTGTGAACTTGTAAGCACTGTGATGTGTTTCTTTGAAACACATCTTTTTTCACTCCTGTCCACAGCAAATTAAATTCTGTTGTTCTTTGTTTCCCAGCATTAAATACTGGCTCATTTGTCTACTGTAAAATAAGATTTAGGTTTAGTGTTAATGAAAAATTAGTTGTCTAAACTTAAAAATTAGTACATGTGTGTTCAAGATTAATATATACTTTTTGGAAAAATATATCATTTCCTCTAAAAAGTTTTGCTGTGTAAATGTGCAGGATTTTGTTAGAACTGTCAACAAGGATGAAGAGGAACCATATCCCTGGATACACTGTGGTATATTTGCATTAGGAAGCACACTGCTTCCTAATTTCCCTTCTCTCATCCTTCTTCATCCAGTCTTGCAACACACAGGGATGGACTTAAATAGAGAGGCTAGATCTCAGTGCTTTCTGCTTATTTCAGTAGGAGTGGTGTGCAACAGGAATTCACCAAGCCATGTTTAAATCATGAGTAAGAGAAGAAAAAGTTGTTGTAGCTTGGGAGTGATAGTCTCTAATGGGAGGTAACTATGTAATCCCCCTGTCCTGGTGTTTCTCTGGAAGAAGTGGGAAGCACTGATTTCAGCAAGAATGGTACATACAGAGGTCTAGAGTTACTGGATTGCAACGACTGCAACAAAGCATAGGAGGTAGAAACTCCCCATTTCCCTGCTGGCAGTAACTAAGCAGCTCCAGGTATGAGGGGCTGCAGTCAATGTCCTGGGAGCCTCGATTGGTGGAAGACAGGGAGTTAGACTCATGATTTTTCAGAAAACTACCTGTATCAAAGGTGGAGACTCTGCATGGAGATGCATGGAGATCAAAAGCTCTATCTGCTGGCTTTTCCATGTACAACATAGCCTGTAATCTTTATGCAAAAGATGGTTTGACCTGGTTTGAGGTCATGGGAATGTAATGTGGGGGAACTTCTGTTTAGGCCTGAGTTTGCTGAACAGAATTTATTTTTGATTTTTTAGGTTCATTTTAAGAATCTGGCATCCAGACCATATTCCCTCCATGCCCATGGAGTCCTCTATGAAAAGTCCTCTGAGGGAAGCGTTTATGATGATGAATCTACTGCTTGGTTTAAGGAAGATGAAGTTCAGCCAAATAACAGCTACATATATGTATGGTACGCAAACCAGCGATCGGGCCCTGTGCAGTCAGGAGCAGCTTGTCGGTCCTGGGTCTACTACTCTGATTTAAACCTGGTAAGGGAATGGAAATAGAAGGGGTGGTGTTGCTGGGGTTGATCACAGAATCATAGAAACACTTGTGTTGGGAGGCATCACCAGAGATCATCCAGTCCACCACTGCAGCTCAAGCAGAGTTGGCTGGAGTAGTTTGTCCAGAGCCAATGTTCAGCTGGGTATTGAATATTTTTTGGAATGATGCATGGCTGTAGAAGTGCAAGCTGCAGAACATGTTTTTTGATAGCTGTCCTTTCTTTTGGACTTGGATGTTCCCACCTGACATTTAATGTCTTGCGCTCAGTTAAAGCAGGACATAAAGTATGGAAGAACTTGAAGTGGGCACCTCTGGTAAGACTGAGCAGGGAAGAATAAAGATAGAAGGGAGCAGTAATTCTGGGACCTACTTTAGATTTTTAGGGGCTGATGCATTCCTGCAGAATGCTATGGGGTTTTTTTTTACATCTTTTGGGAAATCCACTTTTACCTCTAATATGAGTTTATTACCTTCTAGGAGAAAGACATTCAGTCTGGTTTGATTGGGCCGATACTGATCTGTGAAAAAGGAGCCTTCAGCAAATCAAACAGCAGCAGGACATATACACGAGACTTTTTCTTGCTTTTTATGGTCTTTGATGAAGAGAAAAGCTGGTACTTTGACAAACATTCTGGAAAGCCTTGTAACGAGAAGACACAAGAAATGCAGCAATGCCACAAATTCTATGGTACCTATTTCATTTTGCCATATATGCAGTTTACTGTGGTAAAGATGTCAGGGGAAGTATCTCAGCTCATGGTCCTTTTCAAAATGCATAAATCCCCCACATCAGTTATGTGAATATTTTTGTTATCCATTATACCCATAGTAGTAACGGTTTTACATGTAAAAATTATCAGTGATGGGAAATTTGCTATTAAAATGAAGAAAGAATATATTAGACTGAAACTTTCAAAAGAAAACTTCTCTCTTTTATTTGCATATATATTCCCCCCTATTAAAAGAAAAAAAAGAAACAAAGAAGTCTTCTTTGCAATAAGAAGCTAGTACCCTGACAACTTCTTGCAAGAAATTTTAAAATATTTTAATAATTTGACCTATCAGGTAGTTCTGCTGAGGAATTTGAAGCAGCTGTATAACAGCCCTTCATACACCCCTCTGTGGATATAGAGATATTTCAGTTGTGCCTTTGGAAATGGGAGCTTCAGAAAGAGTTTTGGATAGCTGTCCTTTCTTTTGGGCCTGATATTCCCATCTTACATTTAAATATTTTTGTTCTCCTGGCTGCCATGTATTGCTACCAAGCTGTGCTCAAATCTTCTGGTGAGGTCCCTGGATTTTCTGAATTGATTTACACCATAAAGTGTGTTGCACTTTAAATTGGAAAAAACTGTTTTCCCCAAGTGCATTGCTTCATTAAATATGTTGCTAATTTCAATAATTACTTTCTAGCACTTTGAGACCGGTTTTGTGAGCAGTTTTCCTGACTAACAATCTTTTTTTTTTCAGCCATTAATGGGATTACCTACAATTTGCAAGGCTTGAGGATGTATGAAGGTGAAACAGTCCGATGGCACTTGCTGAATATGGGTGGCCCAAAAGACGTTCATGTTGTTCATTTTCATGGACAGACTTTCATAGAACAAGGAGAGCCAGAGCATCAGCTTGGTACATACACTCTCCTCCCAGGTAAGCATCAGAGCAGAGTAAGTTCAAAGGGGTGACCTCTGAAGTCTGTCATTATCATATCGGTTTAAAGGTCTCCATATGGTGAGAGTTTGGGGGTTTTCATGTCCAGTTAAGTGATACAGAGCAGAAAGAAGAAATGTGAGCCCTAGGAGAATTCTTACTCTCTCTCCAGGGAGAAATAGGCTGTAAGTTTTCATTAGACTGCAGGATGAAGTCCTTTGCCCCATCAGTGTCAGCAGTACCAGTGTGCAATAACAGCACTTATGAAGCCTGTGTTGCCAGCTACAAGAATTCAAGGGGAAAAAAAAAAGACAACAAAGAGATCAAAATAATGGGACTGGCTTGGAATACTAGGAGTTTTAGTGAACATTAGGGGTAGTTTATTCAATATTTTATTTCCTTATTTTTAAAGTAGTCCTTTTAATTGGGAAATCTACATATTTTTGTTTAAATGAGAATCAGAATTAGCTGGAATTACCTGAAGAATTGTCTGCAGCAACTAGGAGTATAAGAAAAGCAATGAGAACATGTCCTGTGCTTTCTAAAAAGGGCATCGAGCAACTGAAACCATACCTACTTCCTGCTCAATCCTTGGCACTCCTAGGGCATGAAGAAAGTGAGGGAAGGGCCCATACTTCTAATATTCCTGCTTCTACTATTGGCTTCTTTACATCCTTCTCATTTTATTGGAACACACTGGCACAGCAGGAGTAAGAATCATAACCAGCATCACAGACTTAACATCCATTCATTATGTAATAAACACTGTTCACTACACTGTTTAGCACTGTAGTTAATGTGCAGATGTGTTATGTTCAGGCAACCAAGGTTTTGTACTTTGCACCATCAGCAAAGGTTGGGTTTTGATCTGGCTACTTGATTCCAATCTCAGTCTCCAGCCAAAACTAGCTTGCCAAGAAGAAAAATCACTGGGATGGTGGAAGTTACTGCTCTCATTGCAATGTGTAGTTAAATTTTCTGGATGAGGTCATAGGAAGGTCTTTGGTTTAAAATTCAGCCTCACTGACATCAGCCTTGTAATGCAAATGTTTCTGATACATTTCATTTCCTTTTTTCAAGGCTCATTTAGAACAATTGAAATGAAACCACAGAGACCTGGCTGGTGGCTTTTAGACACTGAAGTGGGGGAATACCAGCAAGCAGGAATGCAGACATCCTATTTGGTTATAGAGAAAGGTATGAACTACAGTGGTTTTTGGCTGGGAAAGTCAAGCTATGAAGTCTTCTCTACCCTTTCAGGATCTCTAAAAATAAATTTGGGAGATTGTTCTGCAAAAATTGTAGGAAATTATCCACATTCAAGGACATGGTGGAGTGGTTACTATAAATTTGTTATAGAAGAAAATTTTTTAGCTTCCAGCAATGCTAGCTTTTAATTATTTAGCACACTACCTTAATTCCTCTAGCATGCTAGCCTTGAATTTGAGGTTTCCCTATAGCGACCAGTAGATTAATCTGTTGAGAGAAATTGCAGAGATTAATTTAGACTTCTCTGGGAAAAGAGTGATGTTATAGAATTACTAGGTAGAAATAACAATTATTATTATTAATAGTGAACTAGAATTACACTATTGTCCTGAGTGATGCTGTCTCACATTTCACCAGAATATATATTGGAATAGACCTCATTTTCTTTAACAACAAACTTACTGTGCTCCCTTCAGAGTGCAGGATTCCAATGGGCCTGGCAAGTGGGGTTATACTCGATTCGCAGATTGATGCTTCACATCACATAGGTGAGTTTATCCCTGAAAAGGTCCCTGAACACCTCCAGCAAAGTGTTGCAGTTCTGTCTTGTTTTGACTTCTCTGATGGTCTTTCAAGATCAGTTCAGCAGCAATCAGCTCTCAGGCTAAAAGTCTCTACAGTGCTGCAAGCAGAGACAGGGAGTTCTGTTAGGTAACCATCATTATTGTATTTGAAGTATCACAGGTCTGCTATCAGTGTCACAAGATTGAAAGTCAGGGAGTGCTCTGTCTGTGGCCTGCTGGGTGATCAGGAACAAATCCAGCATTCTTTTTGTTCCTTGGATTCCTATTGAAGGTGGAGGGAGACGACCCACCTTGCATTGGTTAGCCATCGACTCCGATTTATTAATCAATCAATCACCTTTTATAACAGTGTTAATCAAGTTCATGCATATTGCAAAATCTGAGCTCACAATAGGTCAGAGATAACATACCAACCCCTCCTTATGCTTCCAATACCAAGATTTGGGTTCTCAAAATTATTCTTGCTTTCCCAAAACAGCCAAAGATAGAACATCCACTTGTTATGAGAAAGCTGCCTGAGAACTCTGATGTGCAAGACTCTCAAGGCCTTCATGTTTGTCACTTTTACCTGTAATTAAAAATAACCTGAGAACCTCTGCTGTTCACAGAAACAGGCTGTGAGAACCTGCTCCTCACAGCTGCCTTCTAGGCCATCCCTGAAAAAATCTCCAACAGATTCCCTTCTTGAAAATAACACCAAGTGTTCAAAAAGCTTTTGAGATTTGAGTGTGGTATGAGATACGCAAGGACAAAATATATCTGTTATGAAAGACTTGGGAACCCTGGCATCCAGAGCAATTACAGAGTCCTTAATTTGTGAAGTTTATCTGTGGTACAAAAGTGGGATCATTACTTAGAGACTTTTCTTAGCATTTTACACAGTGTCAAATCAAGGTGTACAGACAGTATCCTTTCCTTTGAAATAAAAAATAAGTTACTTATTTTGTAAAACCCAATTTTTTGTGGATTTTCTTTCTTTGTTTCCTTATAGAGTGTTATGAAGGCTTGAAAGCTGTTTTGTAATATATATTCTATACCAATTTTTAATTTGAAAACCTTGTTATACAGAGGGGAGCTCTCTCCCATGAATGTAGAGCACATTTTGTATCTGATCCTGCTGGGGCCAAAACTTGTTTAGCAAACTCTAGACCCTGGTTCCAAATTAACAGTCAGTATATTACATAAAAGGTTACTATTTTAGTCATTTTGACAACTTTAAAGCTTTGTAGGGTATAGATGCTGACCATGTCCAAATTAGCCTAGATATGGTTTTAGATCTCTTGTTTGTATTTTTTTCTCTTTTTTTTTTTTTCTTATCCTTTGGGTAGGGGTGGGAAATGGCACACTCAAAGCTAATAACAGCCTCAGTTTGTTTTTTCAATGCCTCTTAAAATTCTTGCTTTATTCATATTTTCCATCTAGACTACTGGGAACCTAAGTTAGCCCGATTAAATAATTATGGAACATACAATGCTTGGAGTACTACAATGGAGGAAGAACTGCCTTGGATCCAGGTAAAGTACAACATCACTGAGTCATGATTTTCCTGTAGCTTATTTTAGAAGGTCAAGCTGTTCTGGTCACTGAGAAGGCTGTTGGAGAAGACTGAAAGATGTGGCAAGATTGTTGATGCCATTAAATGTTCTTCTTCCCTGGGGTAACTCAGTCTCTGCTGCTGTTGAAGCTCATTGACTGGACAGTTACCCTCACAATTTAGATTGTAACCATTTTGTAGGTAAATGGAGTAATTCTTTCTGCTACTTTATTTTTCCTTTGTGTAATAGTACATATTTGTATGTTTGTGTTTAAGTGATCATTTAACATGTAATATCCTCAAGCCTTCGTTCAGATAGTTTTTTGCTTAGTTTGTATGCTGCTGTCCCACTTGACAGAGCTCAGTTGTCTTCACTTAGGGAAACTAAGCTTACAATTATGACTTTAGGTTCTATATCATTCAATCACCTTACTTCTGTGTTTTTTCTGCCATCCCAATGACTTTTGCACTACACAGCCAGTTTGCACCCAAATTTGGGGAGAATAGCTGATTTCTTATAAATCTCATTAAAATTGGTTGGAAGACAAGAGAGACTCAAGTTCAGCAGGTGGCTGTTGTGTTTGACTTGCAAACATTTGACATACTGGCAAGTTAGTGAAAGTGGAGTAGGGGGAGAAGGTTGGGAGATCTGATGTAAAACTGGAAATATCATTGGGAAGAGAAAGAATTTAACAGGGGGCTGTGGTGGTGGGAAGCTGAGGTTACTGCAGTGAAGCATGCAGAGGTGTGGAGAGCATGTCCCAGAGAATGAGTTTCACTGCTGATAGGCACACCTTCCAGATTTGTTTTTATGTGCTAAGTGCTTAGATATGATATCAGCAGGAATGGTGGCTTTTCAGCACTTCAGAATTTCATATGCCTTTCTGCAGCCTAGGTATCTAAAATTAGAGGTAGCTTCTAAAAGTGTGAGCCTTTAATTTCTCTGTGCTCCTTGACCTCCTATCTGTAAAATGGGACAGGGGGATGGAATTGTGTCTACCACAGACACACAGATATTTTTGAGGTGCCTTTGTGGTGCAGTGCTGAACCCTGTAAAATGGCCTCTGAAATTAAATGCACATGCAAAAACAGAAATGAAATGAGAAAGCATTCATTTGATAGATCTCTGATAGATATTCTGGTGTCTGTTATTCCTTTAGAGAAGGTTAGTGCTGTGCATATTAAAATGCCAAAGAATTATATGGCTTTTGCTGTATATTATTGACTTTATAAATACTCTTTGCTGTTCCTAGGTGGACTTTCGAAGACAAGTTTTGCTCACTGGGATACAGACACAGGGAGCCAAGCAGTTTTTTAAGTCCTTGTACATCCAGAAGTATTTTCTTGTTTACAGCAAAGACAAACGGACATGGAACACCTTCAAAGGAGACAGCTCGCCAACAGGAAAGGTGTGTCTGTGCCATGGGGCTTGCAACAACCTAGGCAGTGTCACTGAGGGATACAGTGAGTCTTATTTAATGTTAAGAAAGAGTGGAAAAATTATGGCCTTTGGAGCCTTGATAGGTACACCTGGAATCTCCATAGGGCTTTTACCAAACTAATGAAATTCAGACTAGAAGACAAGTAGTAAGGTGAAACACTACCTGGACTGGCCTTGTGACCTTGACTGTGTGGAGTCTGGTTTTCTCACAGGCATCTCTCCCTATTATTATTTCCTAAGCCCATGGCAGCTTTTTTGAAGAAAGCAGGAAGCTGAACTAAAAATCAGGCCTTTACCTCATTTGGGATTAGATTCTGCTTCTCATCCCTTCCTTTGATCTGTCCCAGCAGCTGAATGTTGAACTGATTTGCCTGCAGAAGGCCTGTGTGGTGAATGTGGTTGTATGCTGAAAGAGGTTCATCTTACACCCACCTGCTCCAGCCCTACCTATTACAGCTCCCTTCAATTTACACTGAGGTTTCTGTGATAAAGCTCCCAGACTGAAAGCCTGTTGTCTTTACCTCTTTCCTCATGCATTTTTATAGACTTACATAAAAATAAAGGTTGCTGATTTAAACTGAGGCCCTCAGACACTTCCAAATATGCTGAGATGGGACCATGAGATATTTCAAGTGGCCCTGCAACATAGGGTGTGCTATCACTGTGGATGGGGCTAAGGGCATAAAAAAAATTATATTTGTAACAGAGCAGGCTTTCAGCCTCCAAATTTGTGTTTGCATTAAATTAAGTATGTGTGATTTTTTTTCTTTTGAACAGATTTTTGACGGTAATTCCAATGCCTATGACATAAAAGAGAACATCATTGATCCCCCTATTATTGCTAGGTACATCAGACTCTACCCCACTGAGGTCTACAACAGGCCTACTCTTCGCATGGAGCTTCTGGGCTGTGAAGTAGATGGTAAGAATTGGTTAACTGCTTCCATTCTGGCAAATGTTTTACCTAATACTTAAAATGAAGCTTAAACTGTGGGTCTTCTCCATGCCAACCTTGTTGCTTCGGCTGTGGCCACTTGAGTGTAGTGGAGATGACACAGTGCTCCTCTCAACAGGATGCTCTTTGCCACTTGGAATGGAAAGTGGAGAGATCAAGAATACCCAGATAACAGCCTCATCTGCAAAGACATCCTGGTTTAGCACATGGGATGCTTCACTTGCTCGTCTCAATCAGAATGGAAAGATGAATGCCTGGCGAGCCAAGGTAACAAGAGAACAACAGTGAAGGCAAGGGCAGCTGGTTAATAAACTGGTGCTGCCTGTGTGGTCGTGGTGCTTCCTGCATGCTCTGTCTAGTGCTGAGTGTGACTGGTCACTTCACAACCATCCTTTGGGAAGAGCACCACTCAACTCTTCAGCAGAAATTTGTTGAGCCTCTGGCAACAGCAGTGAAATACTTTGAGAGATGGATGCTCTCCTCTGGGCCACAGTCTGCAGTCTATGGGAATAACCTGTTTAATTTCAGGAGATTAGTGCAATTTGAATATTTGTCTCAAAGGGGTTTAGGAAACCCATTCTGGGTTGGCTTATAGGCAGTGCAGCCTAGTGGATCTGGGGGTGAGTGACCTTCAGCAAGTCGTGTGAGCTTCTGTGTCTTTGAAATGGAGCTGCATTTCTTCACAAAGCACCTTGAGATTTGATCAAAGCTGCTCTTTTGTATAAGCATTTGGTATTAGTATTAAGTATTAGGTTTTAACACTGGAGGTAAATCTCTATTATATTTCATTATGTATTGGAAATTAAAGCGTAAATCTTCAGACTCCAAACATACTACCTGTAGTAATGAAGTTAATTATATAGCTCACTAAGAAGGCTTGTGACTTCCCTCAGCTTTATTCTTCTTTGATACAGTTTTGATGCATTTTGATACAGTTTTAACTACCTGTAAACATGATTTTCACTTAAGCAAATACAAACATTTACATATTTGCTAATTCACAAACTTTCATCTCAATTGTAGTTTAACGACAACCAACAGTGGCTGCAAATTGACCTCCTCACAGTTAAGAAGATCACTGCTATTGCTACGCAGGGGGTCACATCCATGTCAGCTGAAAACTTTGTGAAAACCTATGTTCTTCTGTACAGCAATGAAGGCTTCGAGTGGAAATCCTACACAGAGGGTTCAAGCTCAATACCAAAGGTATCGCTGTCAGCCCGGGCAATTGAATTGTTTTGTTGTTTCGAAGTGAATTGAATTGTTTGGTTTTAGGTGCTGGATACAGTCAAGGCTCAAAGACAGAATGCCAAGCCAAATTGATATTCTCACTGGGCTGTAAAGTGCTAGGGAGCTGGGGTTACTACAGATAATGTCACAGTATCCATCTGATTTTAGTGATCATGATTAATTGTAATAAAAGGAATGAACGCTGTATCTACAGAGAATGCAGCCAATATTGTGATAAAAGAAGCTGACACTGTTTGTAAAGGAGAACATTAGTTTGAATGCACAAGGACATTTAATTTGAGTGAATAATGGATTCCCCAGGGCCTCTTTTTTTTTTATTTTTATTTCTGCCCTCTTTTATTTTTTTTTTATTTCTGCCCTGATTTTTTAAGTGAAATCAATGTTAGTAAGCAGTATCGCTATAGCAGAGCTGGGGAACTTCAGGTACCCAGAGAGCAGACACAGTACTTTGTATTTTTTCCTGTGTTACCTTAAACCAACCTAATCCACAAAGGCAATTAGCAGGGGTGAAATAAGGGGAGTTCGTGGGTTTGGTCAATTAGAAATTAGAATGGCAAATTTTCTGGTGGAGATGGAAACAGAGGCTGTTTAATCCATTCAGACTCAGCTATTGCTGGCCTGAACTACTTTTAACCCAGCACATTAGGAAGAGACTTGTTGTGGACTTGTTTAAAACCAGAAATGAGCCAATCCATCTACCCTGGGTGTGACTAATACAACAGCTGGGAACTGTTGTAAAGAGAAAATGCAGGGTTTTTTTCAAATGCCACCTTTTTACTAATTGTGTTTGTGTATTTGCAGGTTTTCCTGGGTAATGCAAACAGCAATGAGCATGTCAAGAATTTTTTTAACCCACCCATCCTGTCCAGGTTCATCCGCATTGTTCCAAAAACATGGTACCGTGGGATTGCCCTTCGGGTAGAACTCTATGGCTGTGATTTTGGTGGAGGTCTGGCTGCGAAAAGGACTGATGAGTCTGGGAGTTCTTAACCTGCCAGCAGTCATCATGCAGAACAACCTGTTTGTCTAGAAACCCTTAAAACAGTCACACTTAGTAGTTTGGATATGTGCTTTGTCAAAGGAACATAATGTTTTACCAACAGGATTGAGAGATTTCTCTGGCATGTGTTTCATTCCTACAAATACACATTTTAGAAAACAGCTTATTTTCTCTGAGAAAATCTCTTTTCAGCTTCTTTTCTCTGGAAGAAATAGTAGTCCCTTCTGATTAGTATTATCACTTCTTCATTATAACCAGTACTCTGTCTTACTTTTTACCTAATTTTAAGTCCTGAACCCCTAGGAATGGAGACTCTGGCCTTGATCCTGAGCCCTGGCTATCTCCATTTTGAAATGCTTTTGCAGCACAGATGAGGAATAGAAAGCTATAGCAGGTGGATGTTCTCCATACATAAGGCTTAGAGGGAAATCCAGTGCTGATCTGGAGATGTGGAGCTGCATTCCAGCAGTACCTTGGTAAGAAATGATTGTAGGGGTGGCCTCTCCTCCACGTCTTTTGCCTGCACTGTGGCAAAGACAGGACATGTCTCAGCATTAAGGTATGTCCAGCCCCTTCTCAGAGAATGTGTGCTGGCATTGTTGGTTTGGTTCTTGCATACCCAGCACACCTGAATGGTGTAGATTTCACAGAATTCATCTTCAGTGCCCTGGAAAGAGAAAAGGGAGTCAGCAGTGCCTTTACATCCCAGAAACAAGAAGAGAAGTGATTTAACCTGACAGGTGATGGAACAGCAATGGGAGAGCCAAAACGAGAATTCAGAACTCCTGATGCTTAGTCCCATATACACTTTTAGACTGTTGGGACAGGGAGCTCCCTTGATGAGGAAAGCTTTGAGAACTGCAGCTGTTCAGTGGCAGTACAGCCTGGGGGTGGCAGAGGAGGATTAGATGAAACTGGGTAACAGAAACAGCTTCATCTTCTCTTACAATTTAACAGCATTTTTACTAATGGAAATACTCATGTGCATAGATTTTACATGGATATTTCCCAGGATAACACATCTGAAAATAGATAACACAGTCCATAAACTCATTATTCCAGCAGAATTTTAACAAAGCTTTCGGTAGTGTTCTAGACTTCTATCCTGTAAATTGTTTATTTGCAGCACTTCACTTATCACACTAGGTACCATTCAGCAGGCTGGATTTTTAAAGTAATTTGTCTTTGAACCTTGAATGATGTTAGCCAGTTTTATTTCAGTAGTTTTTAATTTCTTTCTCATACAGAGCATGCATTTTAAAGAGCAGGTATAGAACGGGAATGAAAAACGTGTAAAAAACTAAACAAATATTTTCTTCTGGTTTTTTTTTTTTTTTTACTATGTCACAAACTGTTGTAATTTTCCACTGGAAAATAAAACTAATATTGTTGCATGAAAGGATCAAAATTTTGTTTTGTATATTTGCCTCTACAGTAGTAGTTCTAGTAATAGTGAAAGTATGCAACAGGAAAGTAAAATTTTCAGTGCCAATTAGAATTAATTTCACATGGTGAAACAGTGTGAGTAATTCCTCCATCTTTAAAGGTTGGTTTCTTAGTATTTTGTAACTGTGCTTAGTTTATTTTTGTTTGACACCACCATGAAATTCTAACACAAGCCATATTCACTAAAAAAAAGAAAGACGTGAACTTTGGAATGAGGTTTTACCTTGGAAAACAGTCGATAAATGCTTGCTAGCTTCAGCAGGACCAAGTTTTTATGTGATAACTGTGAAATTATTTTTTAGAAGGCAGTGATCTTTCATGTTCTAAATAAGTAATTAGTTCGTTATATATACACATATAAACACACACATGTCTAATTCTGTGTAAAGTTACATAACTGCAAAACTGATTGCAGGAGCATGACTCAGTCCATCTGCATCAATTTTACAAGTTGAAGATTCTGCTTCTGCTTACTAATGAACAGTGCTTTTGTTAGCTGGGTCAGATGTTCTGCTTGCATTTCCTCTCCAGCCCCTTGTCCTTCCCCAGCCTGAGCAGAGAGATAAAAAGCAAAGGCCTTGACATCATGCAGACACTGTTCAGTGCCCCTAAAACACCCCTGTGTTGTGAACACTGCCCTAGAGACAAATCTAAGCCACAACACGCTTTGGGCAACTATGATGGAAATTAACCCCATTCCAGTGGTGTTCCAGCCTGCCCAGTGGAGCAGGGCTGTCTGGGCCCTGTGCCACCTCAGACATGAGACCATTGCTGATAACAAAATGTTCCCTTGCACAGCTGCGTAAGATAAGAGCTACAATAAATAGCAAAAGTCCAAACCAGTCACTAATGTGCCAGACTCTTACATACAGTAAGGCAAAAAGTATAAACCGTTGCCAATAACAGCTAGAAATTCCACTTAGCACACTCTGATCAGGGGTGTTATCTCAAAATCCTCTTGTCTCACATGGGACACCAAAAAGGACTGCAGTGGGTTGGCCTCAGCTGGCACTTAAGTCCTCATTCAGTCACTTGATGGCTTTCCCCTGGCAGGCTGGGGGAGAGGATTGGAAGAGCAAAAGAGAGGAAACTTGCAGGCTGATATTAAGGCAGTTTGATAAGCAAATCAAAGCTGCAGATGCAAGTGAGGCACAATAAGGAATTCATTTGCCACTTCTCATCCACAGGCACGTGTTCAGCTGTTTCTAGGCAAGCAGGGCCTCGACACACCTGGCAGTTGCTTGGGAAGACAAAGACCATAAGTCTGAACATTCCCCCTTCATCCTTCTCCTTTCCCCCTGCCTTTCCTGCTGAGCACAATGTCACACAGTCTGGCGTATTACACCCACCCCCTGGTCAGCTGTGTCCTCTCCCAGCCTCTTGTACAGCCCCAGCCTCCTCACAGTGGGGAAAAGAAAAGGCCTTGGTGCTGAGCAAACACTGCCAGTACCAGCTAAAACAACGAGTGTTATCAGTGCTTGTTTGGTCAAAAAACCAAAGCACAGCACTATACAGGCTGCTGTGAAGAAAATTAACTCTATCCTAGCTGAACCACATACACAAAGTATTTTAATTTTATTAAGCAGCCATCTTAGATTGAATTTGCCAAGGCTTTTGAAAATCTATAGTTAAACCAGTCAGTTCTGCAGAGCCTTTTTACACACTGTGGAATGAAATTCTGTGTATGTTGAGACTATTTGCAAAATACACAAGGAGAGCAAGAATTCCTGCAGTTTTCTCAGAGACTGAAGGTGCACGTGACAGCATGAAGGTTAACAAACAAACTCTAGGACTGAGGGAGAAATGCGGTGCCAAAGTTCAGAGTAATACAGGAAATAATTTCTTCATAAATCTGGATGGATGCCTTCACACTGGCCTTTGATCCAAAGGTCCAAAGTCAACTGCTTTTAGCCTCAAACAGTGTCACAACGTAGTTGCTGCCCTCTAAGGCTCATTTCAGCTTCCAAGAGGCTGCAGGGTGTCCAAAGCTGACCATCTGCAAGTGACAATACCACATGGGTGGCTGTGCTTGAAGCCTTGTGCTTTCCTCACAACCACCTTTACTAGTGCAACCAAGTGTTTCCAGTTTCTTTCCAGAGGTGGTGGCTGTGCTCCTTCACACAGACACTGAAACTGGTTGTGTCTGCACTTGGATTGGAAAGGAATTGGAAGTATGTGTGAACACAGTTGAGCACCTCTGAAATAGATACTGACAGCAGCACCACAGTAGTTTCTTCAGAGCCTGATGCAGTTCCCACACAGGTTTGTACAGAGTGCTCTGTACAGTCTAGAGATGCAGGCAGTCCCATGTGGATGGGTACAGACACCTCTGCCTTTTAGAGGAGATGTAACCTCCATTTTTGCCTGTTTTTCTGCTGGTTGTTCTGAGTGCAACACATGCACTGCAGGGATCCCTGCACTGAAGCCAGGCCAGCTCACCTTCACCAAGGTGCCCAGGAGTCTGCAGACTGGACAGTTCCTTCCACACAGCTGGTATAGCAAAGCAGGGTGGAGACAAAGCTGCACGGATTAAAGCCAATGCAGATCCTGTTTCTGCATCCGCTCAGAAACCCGAACTGTGCATCAGCACAGATGCAAAGGTGAATCTGGGCTTTGGGGCTCTTCTTACAATAGAGATGTCCATGAGGGTGCATGACAAGAGCATGTCTGAGTGATGGGCCAGGAGAACCCTGCAGAGAAAGCATCAAATGAGAATTCATTCAGGACTCCAGACAAATAACCAATCTTTTGAGCATCCTCCAGCACTCCCTGAAATGGCCATGAATACTAGTGGGTTGGTCAGAATTTTAGGATGGTGCTAAGGGACAAAAGGAGGGCTTGCAACTTCACAAGCACTCACACTCACAAGGTGTCTTTCATGACAGGAGAAGATTTTTTTGGCACATACCTGAGAGAGAAAGGCTCTGCCCATGCCCACATATATGCTAGGGAAGACTGTTCATCAATATTACCATGAAGCACCAGAGAAATGAGATGCAGCACTGTCCTATGTGGACCAACTGCTATTTTGTATGAGTCAGTTATTCCTCTTAATCAGTGCAAAATATTCCTCTTCTTGCTGTGTTTATTCATGCTAGCTCTGCATCATAACCAGTTTATCCACCTACACTTTCCTATCATTACTGTGCCCCATTCTCCATTTGTTTGTTACACCCAGTGCTTGAATCATGCTTTAATTACAATCTCCTCCAGGTAGGGACTCCATCTTCTTGAATGTTTGAACAGCACTCTGCAAAACAGGCCCTGAGATCATTCTCAGGGTTCCTGGGCACATCTGTAACACCATTCCTACTGGGAACAATACTGTGTTAAGCCCACTGTGACCTACATACACCAAGCATCACGTAATTCAGACCAACCTATTTGCTTCTTCATTTAATAAAAGTACAGGGTATATTTCTTTTAAATGCTTGTTTTACTTTGTAACATCACTATTGTACTCTTTTTGCACTTGCCATGAAATTTTTTCCACTGTTTGTAGCCGACTTGAGTGGCTTTTCCATTTTTTCCTTGTGTAGCTGCCTGCAAATATTTTAAACAATTACATCCATAATGTCCATAATGGAAATGTATAGTGCTGCACAACATGACCCATCTTAGTCCAGGAGTTATTCTGATATCCTGTGGCAAATTCAGCCATGAGTGCCTCATCTCTAACAGCTCTCTGTTCAATCTGCGTTGGACACAATGCAGAGCTTGCTGTGGTGTGCAGGGCAGAAGGGAAGTTCTCTGCCAGAGGCTTTTGATGGTAACCTGTCTCCTAATGACTCCTGTGTTTTGGATAGATGGTTGTTTGTCCTTATGCTTCTGCAGGTCTTGAAAGCTTGGATTTTAGACTGGCTTCTGTATCAGCTGTGTTCCAGTGAACTACAACGCTGCCCCCACCCCCCATGCACAGGGGTTTTAAATTGATCCTTTCTGGCTGCATAATATTGATGAGCTTCCTGTTGAAAACCCCCAGATTATCAAAGAATCAACTGGGGGTTGGAAGTGAGGAAGACATGGGCCTTCAAAGTTATATTTAGTCTACTGTTCTAACAGATTGCTATAACCTACAAGCTTTGATCTAAATTAGTCAGCCTGCATTTCAGAAATAATTTAGAGTTTTGTTTTGTTCTTGCTAATTCTGTTTCATTCCAACATAGATACTAGTTAATGGAGTCTACTTCCCCAGATTAGTTACAATGGCCAAAATAATAAAAAAAGAAAGTGGTTGCTATTTGTCACATTTCTGTGACTTTGTTCCTTCCATACTCAAGTAAAGACAAATCTGTTTTATTCTCTCTGTCTGGATAGTTTCTGAAATATTTGTACTCTCTGTCTGGATAGTTTCTGAAATATTTGTACTATCTTAGTGCTTTCACATACTGAGAAAACATTCTGAACAACAGCTTCACAAGAGTGCAGTTTTTGAAGTTTTTAATTTACAGAAGATTTTCTCTAAACAACTTGGCATGACTTCAGGAGAGCTTTTCATGCACATATATTTTATTAATTCCTTCACAATACACTGCAGGCCAGAAGCTGAGAGAAGAAGGAAATAAGTAAGATTAAGAAAGTGTGAAAAACTCTACTTTTCACAGTTTATGTCTTCCACCTTAGAAAAAAATATTGGAAGTGTTCAGGTTTTTACTATCAAACATGTTTAACCTTTCCTTACTTTTTCTAGTAGAGTGGAGAGATGGAAAGAGAAAATGTGGAGGAAGGCTAAGAAAAGAAAAGATAGAAATAAAAAATCAGGAAATAAAATTTTATCTTGTTCCCAAAGGCTGAAAATATTCCATGAAAATAAACCAAGGTGAGTTCTTTTGAGAACAAAACCAAAACCCTGAGAAAACATGGAGCACTTAAGTCGAAAATTTGTTCCAGTTTTTGGGGGAGAAATCTAGTTTGCCTGACTGACTGTGTA